CCGCAATGGAATCCGTGCATGATTGAAGAACCTGTTTATATAACAGCAGCCGCTTGTAACATCGCAGTTGACTAAGGTATTATATGTACGAAGTAGTCACCGTTTCGCAAGCACAGTCGTACCTCAACGACGTAGGACACGCGGCCACGCGTCTGATGGAGATGGTTGGAGTCGTGGATACTGACGTCTTGGAGCCCAAGTCTCCGAAACTTGGACGTGTTATGCAAAATTGGGTCAACAATGGCCAGCTTGGAGAATTGGGTAGGGCTGGAAGTTGGAACGGACTACGAGCCTCAGGGACATATTGGAAGGTCATGACGCACCGGTCTTATTCCGTGCTGTCACGAATTACATTCCACGAAACCGGGGGCTCAAAGACTGCAACATCTAAACATCTACACAGTTTCCCGAGTCATATATGACATACCAAGGGATCATGGACCTCCTTGTTTATGACTTATTCGGCTCAGTGCCGTATCTCACCTCGGTGAGGACTTTGTGATGCATATAGAAGTTGCTCGCAATCAGATAGAATGAAATCAACAGCCCCATGATATCAGCAACGTAGATGAATAACACCCGAGAAGTATCACAGCCGTAAGTACTAGGACCTCGAGATCATGACATGTTCACGTACCTTCGGAGGAGAAACCACTCTGATAACCTACTCTAAGAGGAGCTCGTCCTATGACAAACCTCATAGAACAGGGGGCATATAATACCAGCGTGGCAACAATAACGACTCAGTCCATTCAGCGGAGCTATCAAACCGTCTACACCATCTTACCATCCGTGAAAGTGTCCAACGCGGAAGCTTCATCCGCCCTCGCTAGTCTTAGAAGCCCTAGGGTGCCAGTCCATCAATATGATCGGCCGTCTTCTGTTTCTTCTCGACTATATGCTAGAGAAACCACAAACAAGGCATACCAAGAGTATCAAGATGACCAGACGCTGATGATGATGATCAAGAGAGCCATAGACTTGTGTAAGTCGAACATCGAACAGTTGGACAACGGATCAACATCAACATGTAGCTCGCGGTGTTGTGTCACAACCAACTTACGTACAACCAGAAATAGCCCAGTCGGATGCTTGTGAGAGTGGCCCAGAAGTAAAGTTCAAGGAACTCAACTCTGGTGGCAAGCACAGCAGGAAAGCAGATGTTAAAGAGCTGAAGCAATACTTGATATCTAACACTTGCCGTAGGGATTCGGAAGTTCCTTGCGTGATACCTGAGAGGTATCTTACAATACCGTCAACGAAGCTATTGTACACCCACGCCCGCATGCGCGCGCGCACACACACACACATAAAGTACCCCTAACATGAATACTACGATGTAAGAAATCCGAAGAAAAGATTGATTAAATAATGGTATCTGGTGATATTTCCACGCACGAGACAACTTATATCTCCCATCTTTCGCCATGCAACTCCAAAAAATGCTAACCATCAACAAATAACGCAAGAACAAATCCAACGCCCGAACAACACCCGAGACCCAGTTCGTAGCTCCCTGGGTAGCTCAGACTTGCCTCTTCCTCTTCAACCACCTCTTCACAATATACCGATACGCAGCAGCCTCAGCTGGCCCGACAGCGACGCGATCGACAGTCGACCTCCGACTATGCACTGCTACCCCCGCCGCCGCCGCCGCATTCGTCCTCGTCAGTAGAGCCATGGACCTGGAAGAGGGGTGTGTAAGCGGCGGTGGTCGGTAACAGGACCCAACGACGACGACGTTTTGAGCCCGCCGGGCCGGCTGCTGCTGCTGCTGCTGGGTCTCCGCACCTTTGATGAAGTTTGTCTCCTGCTCCCAGTGTGTTGGGATGTGGAGGACCTTGCTGTGGATCACGTTCATGGCGAGAACTGAGTCTTCTGCGCGGACAACAAGACTGATGTTTTGCATTGGTTAGCACGGGTGATGGTCCAAGGGGAAGGTGGCAGGGGTAGACAACTTACGATATGTTGATCTCGCTGGCTCCTTGGCTCACCATGAAGATGTTGATCTTGGCTGATGCTAGGGCAGACATAATCTCTGCTGATATGCCAACCATATTTCTCATCATGTGTCCGACAATAGTGACAATTGACATGTTTTCTGTAATAATCACCTGTATGCACAACACTCTTGATTAGTTCTTATTTTCAGGTGCAAATAAAGTACGAGGGACTATTCCAAGGTTGAAGGGATTACCTTTCCGAACTTCTCCAGCTCGACTCTCAACCTCTGGTGCTGACAAGAACCCTCCTCTGAATGTTGAAACGCGAGACTGACGCTACGCTCACTGGTAGTGACGAGATCCGTCTTAATTCCCGCGTCCTCGAGGCGGTCAAACACACCGGACAGGAACCCCTGGGACTTGGTGTTCCTATTGCAAACCACATTGACCAAGAGGATGTCGTCTTTGACTGTGACGGCTGTAGGCCGCCTTCTCTCCTGCCGATCGCCGTGATAGCCATTTCCCAGCATGTAGTCGATGGAGGGTAGTGGGATCTTGACATCGACCTTATCGTCTGTTGGGGTTGGAGGAGTAAGGGGAGGGGAGGGTGTTCTAGAGGGGTAGATGATCGTGCCGGATGCCGTCGGATTGAAAACATTCTTCAGTCTCAGGGGGATGTTGGCGCAACGTATCTGATCCATCGTCAAGGAATGTATCACTTCGCTTCCGTAGTACGTCAACTCTGTAGCTTCCTCCGGCGTGACTGTGGCCAACAGTCTTGCCGACGGAACCTTCCTCGGGTCTGCCGTGAAGATCCCGTCAACCTCTTTCCAGATCTGAAGTTCCGCCGCTTTGGTTCCCACCGCGCACATAGCCGCACAGAGATCCGAGTATCCCCGGCCGACGTTCTTGAGCAGCGAGTCTGGCATGATACCAAAGAAGCCGGTGACGATGGGAACATGGTCGCCGCAGTCATGTATCCGCTTGGTGATCTCATCGGCAATGAGGTGATAGAACCTAGGACCGAGGTTGTCCAATGCAGTCTTCTGGTCGAAAACACTAGCACCGAACACCGCTTCGACAATGTCTTCGAGGATGATGGGTTCGGCCGGGATATTTCTGCTACACAAGAACGCCGCTACAACTCTGCACGCAAGCCTCTCTCCGAGAGCGATGACACGGTCCCGTGCCCTTGGAGATAGCTCACCGATGATCTGTGCGGCGAGTAGGAAGCCTCGAAGACTCTCGCATTCTTTGACAATGAGCGTCTTTGTGGTGTCGAAGATGTCGTTACATAGGTCGCTTCTTGTGCCATTGGAGTTGACGAGATGCTTCTCGAGAAGCCGGACATGACTATCCCGTATGGCATCAATATTCTTGTTGAGCAGAGTCTGCGCAGAGAGTCCGGCCTCAGCGTGGGATACACATTCAAGCAGCAGGCTTGTGGTTCCGCTCGACTTGGTGGAACCGGAGAGGGCCGAGCAGACGACGACCAGGTTGTAGTCTCGCAGGTAGGATGGGACGATTTTGCTGCAGATCGACTCGAGAAGTTTTCCCAGGCTAGTACCACCGTACTTCTGCACCAGCCATGGCCTGTTTTCTCTGGAGGTCTCCATGGTTGGCGGTGGGACTAGGCAGACTGGAGGATGGCAAACCTGTCTTGCGCGTGGGACAGCGGAAAAGAGTCAGTTGAGCGGGAGCCGGAGAGCTGTGGACCTTGTTCGATTCAAATTGAAATGTGCTCAAGTGACTTGGCCTTATTAGACTCCATATATCGTCGTGTTTTCCTGCCGTAAGAACCCAGTCGACATTGCTTTCGTAGGATGGATTGCAAAGCACGACGGCGAGCAGGCAATAGCAACTTGACATCCGGCGTCGACTTTGGTCGAGGGGGACTCGAGGTCGGCGACGGACGCACTCCTTCGGCCAAAGTCCATTGCGGAATGAACAATTGCGCATTTCCACACCGCCAGGGCATATTTCCCAGATAATTACTGCCATTGGCGATGCTCTTCGGGATGGGTGGAGTTTGTCCGTCGGTGAGTGCTGCATGATCATGGGCCAAATCCCGGCTCGGGGTTTGAAGACTAGATAGAAGCCACTATGACAACGGGATTCAGCCGCTCGGCGACTGCGCAAAACAACTTCGCTCCATCGGTTTCGGAGCGGCGTTCTTAGTCTTTGGCGCGAGCTCAAAGTGTAGCGGGATTCAGCCGGCGCAAAGTTGGTGTTAAATGTGGGATGCCATATTCTGCAATCTGTGGCCGCCACTATCCATGTATGTGATTGTGTAAGTGACATCGGCGGTGATTGATCCTCGGCATGACGCCTGTCAGTGGCTCCCGCCGGCCAATTGATTACCGCGACAAGACTAGCTGACAAGCATCCGTGACGGATCCTCCCGTTGCATACAGAGAAGGCTGCAGGCCCGTTTAACAAGGGCGTCTTCCAGCTTGGTCACACTCGAAGCGTCAATGCATGCTGGGTCCGTAAATCTGGGAGGATGTCGTGGCGCCGGGGCAGGCTGATGATAAAGTGTGTACTCTTCAACGCACACTGTAGAGAAGCATTGGTCGCCGTTCTCATCATCCAAAGTGTGCATTGGAGACGTATTGGAGACGAGGTCGAAGAATGCTGTTCCTCAAAACCCACAGCCTGGAAAATCTGATGTATCTTGTTCAAGGCGCCTCGATTAGTTCGCCAATGATTTGGGTGATCTTAATGCAGTGTGCTGTAACGACATTGCTACATCTTCGGTTGATACTCCTGAATTGTTGTCCATGTAGAACCCCTAGCAACAGCGCTTTTTGCAGGTGTAAAGAAAACCGTCCACTCTGTCCTCTCTATTCTCATCAAGTGACGATAAAGTTTCCAGTAAGAAGTGAAGTGTATTGAAACTGTGTGTAAAGCAGGAGAGAAGTCTCTATTTACGTCAAGTGTGTTCGTTGACGTGGTAAAGCCGCTGTCAAAGGCTGCCAATAGCTTTGTCTGGCGGCTCGTCCATCTGAAGGGCACCTCTTACTTCGGGCTTTGACACAAAGCCTGAGCTACGCAGCTCTACCAATCCTCGACTTCTCCCGTCAAGCTTTCCCCAGCTTCGTCCATTACAGCAAGGCCCGGCGATCCATCTGACTCATGTATCATGGCATAGAGACTCAGCAATCGAGATCTCAGCTGGGCTTGGATCAACGTATCGAGTTGCTCAAACTCGAGCAAAAAACCGTCATGTCCATCAGATGAGTTAAGAACATGTAATGATGCACTAGGTAGGTTGGCGGCAAGCCGCTGTTGTTGCTCCGGGAGGAATAGCGCATCGGTCTCCACGCCGATGACCAAGGCCCCTGGCGGTACTTGGGACAAGACCTCTGCCAGGCCTTCGTCGCCGGATATTTGCGTCCGTCCATGGGCGACATCGTGGCTGTCCATCTTATTGGTGATGTGTAAATAACAATTGGCATCAAACCTGTTGATAAACTTCTGTCCTTGATAGTGTAGGTATCCCTGGGCCGAGAATGATGGATTTTGTTTCCGCTGCGAGCCTCTGTCTCTCTTGGACCTCGGCGATTCCATAATCGATGCGTCTGTCCTCGGAAGATCTAAAGGCGGTTCTTGAGGTATCTGGGGATTTCGTGGAGGTTTTCTTCCGAAGCGACTGTCGAAACTCGTACAAGAACGATATGTCAGCATGGCAATCATTCGAGCTGCAGAAAGTCCTGCCGAGGGCTGGCCATCTGGTGTCGGCCCGTAGTATCCGTCGTCGAACTTTGGATCGGAGTAGATGCACTGTCGTTGGGTTTCGGCCCAAGATATGCCCCAGGCAGAGTGATCAGCAGCCGTGGCAATAGGAACTACGTTTCGCACAAATCCTGGTTGTGTGCAGAGAGGCCATTCGAGGGTTGTCATGCCTCCCATAGAGCCTCCAACGACGGCTGCTACTGACTTGACACCAAGGGCGTCAAGTACCATCTTGTGTGCCCTGACATCGTCTCTGACCGTCGTCTGGGGGAACTCGCTGGCATATCGCTGACCAGTGCCCGGGTTGATGGTCAAAGGAGAGGCACTTCCATAGGGGGAGCCTAGGACATTGCCACAAAAATAAAGAAGTGCCGAGGGTCAAAGGCCTTTCCAGGTCCTATGAGAGGGCTCCACCAGTCGCTCACATCACTGCTCCCCGTCAGAGCGTGGCATATGACTAGAGCATTGTCGCTTTGGTCGTTCAGTTTTCCCCATGTTTTGTATGCGATTGGACACTTGAAGAGCTCTTCGCCCGACTCCAATGGGAATCTTAGAATAACGGAGAATCGTTGGCCTCGGATGAGTCGGGCGTAGAAGTTGTCGGGATTCGGATCAGAGTCGAGCACTGGTGATTGCATTTAGTCAAAGAACACCTTTGCGTGTACAGAACTGTTGACAACTTACGGAGAGCCATTTTTCCGAGCTGCCAAATCTTGAGTAGAATCTCAAACGGCTCAGAAGTATAAGTAACGGGTAGGTGTAGTCTCTGGTGGTGGTAATTCACTTAGGTGTTGCTGACGACGGTATGTCAATTTTGATAGTAGACTTATTCTCCAACTTTGACCGAACAAATTTGCTTTCGGATAGCAACAACTTTGCGGAACTTGATGCAAATGATGTCTTATCCGTTCAGACTTAAAGACGTTGAGACGTTGAAGGTCGAACAGACAATTGCTTCTCACTGTAAGCAAGTGCCGTCAGCCAGCAAGGATCGAGGAAGCCTCAAGCAAACCCCCGCCCATCCTCCCCCGCGGCGCAGTCTCGCATTCTGATCGCTTGATACCAAAAGCTTTCTGCTTAATGGTTTCGTATACCCCTATCATCTATCGATGGAGGATTTGATAGCGGATCACCATCTCAACCTCCACGGACCGGGGTTTGAAGATGTTCCGGGATTTGAGCCATAATCCCGAAGATCCAAACTCCGCGCAATCAGCGTCGCCTCTTTTCCGGAGTATCCCGGACGCACGCGTCCAAATCGACGATCTCGAACGATAGTGAGACCATCCAGTGACAACGACGCCCTGTTGTGACGTGAGTCACGATGGGTCCCGTAGAGAGAGGTCCTTGAAAGCCATAACTGTTGGCACAGTGGCACTTTAGTCGCCAATCCCGAGAGTTACCAAAGTTGTCAAGCTGTACGTGATCGAAAATGGTATCCACTCGTCCCATCGTCAAGGTTGCGGCTGTCCAAGCCGCACCTGTTTCCTTTGATCTGGAGAAGAGTCTGCAGAAGCTGAGTAAGCTTACGGAGGAAGCTGCTCAGGCTGGCGCAGATCTAGTTGTGTTCCCGTAAGTGCACAACGCTGTTGGTTCCGGAAAGATACCGCCGCTAAAAGCTTGAAGTGAAGGGTTCTTGTCTGCTTATCCATGGAGATACGCGTTTGACGCAACGATTGGTGCTCGAGAGCAGCGAGGTAGACTTTTGGACACCTGACTAGATAGAGAGAGGACGCCGCTAACTTCTCAATCCCAGGGCGCGAGTGGTATGCCAAGTACGCCGATTCGGCCGTCGAGGTTCCCTCTCCTGCCTTCGATAGGCTGTGCGAGACGGCCAAGGCAAACAAAGTTCTCCTCCACGTGGGAATTATTGAAAAGGCGGGCGGTACGCTGTACTGCACTGCGCTGCTTCTCGACCGGGACGGCAAGCTGGTGTACAAGCATCGCAAGGTGATCCAGCCGATCCATTAATTAGAATTCGAGACTAACGTGTATAAGCTGATTCCGACAGCCGCTGAAAGACTTGTTTGGGGTCGAGGCGCTGGGGATGGTCTGCTCGTCAAGCCAACGGATGTTGGCAGAGTCGGAAGCTTGATCTGGTTGGGTCCCATTGTCCCTGATTGAATTGATGGAAAAACATGCTGATGCAGACGCAGTTGGGAGAATTATATGCCGGCGGCTCGCATGGCGATGTACCAACAAGGGATTGAGTACGTTGATCCGCTCTGTCGTCAAAGAGAGAGAAATAGTCGCTGACGTTGACAACCCACACTTGATAGGATTTACGTGGCGCCCCACGCTGATGATTTGGCCACCTGGACAGCATCGATGCAGCATATCGCGAAGGAAGGACGTTGCTTTGTAGTTTCTGTCAACTCATTCTGCAAGGTGTCGGATTTTCCGCCTGATTACCCGCCTTTTACGGCCGAGCACCCCGACCGGCGACCGGATGGAGCACAATGGGAAGCGGATGACATTCTCAACCACGGTGGCTCATGCATCGTCGGGCCGCTGGGCACTTTTCTTGCCGAGCCGATGTGGGACAAGGAAGAGATCGTCTATGCTAGCCTCCGAATGGCGGACCTCACGGAGTCCAAGGTAAGTTCCCCGACACAGGCTGCGGGCATCCGCTAGTCATGAGATAGATTCCAAACTAACGGCGCCTTGCAGCTGGACTTTGACCCCATCGGCAGCTACTCCCGGCCCGACATCTTGTAAGTGGTCCTTTTTAAGACATTGACAAGTGACAAGCCAGATGAACCTGGATATGTTATGCGCCGATCCAAAGCTGACAAGTCGTCTCAGTTCGTTGACGGTCAACACCAAGCCGGCCGACAACGTCGTATTCACCAGCTGATGTCCCGTGCGCATTGAGCATGTTTGCGGGCAACGGCGTGGGGGTGTGAACGGCAGGCGGGGTGCGGTGCGGAGTGACCAGGATGTTATGCGCTCGCGATTTATGGGACCTGACTCGGGAGCTTGGGTGTTCACTGTTTGGAGGATGCTCGGCTGCAGGGTCAGGAATGCCGGGCTTGGGGCAAGACGGCGATGTTGGTTGGTCGCACCAAAGTTCGAGAAGCTTTTCTTGATGTCCAAGCGAGCATGTTGGTCCGACGATGTTTGACACAGAGGCGTGCCACCCATATTTATGTGGCCAAAAATGGTCTCGGCTCGGAATGCTGTACCACAGTACAGCTTGCTGGGTAGAAACGGCTTGTCAGCGTCGATAGGCTGAAGCTTTGATCTCGAAGCATCGGATACTCCGAGATGAGATGGCATCCTGATTGGAACACGCGGTCTTGGTCGGGAGAAGTTTCGGTACGAGTGGACGACGTAGAAAGCTGGAGGTGGAAGTCTAAATCGAAGCTTAGATGCTGACCAAAAGCTACTAATCAGCTCTTCCTTGGTCGACCATGAGAAAGGTGAATGAATCGTGAAGTCGAGACGTGACGCCCAAGTTCCAAGCTACTGTCGCTACCTTAGGGTACACGTGTGGTGCAGAGGAATCTCCCAGCTGCTAGCACTGCTGGCATGGTTGGCATTGCTGGTATTACTAGTCATGCTGGAATTCGTTTCGACAACCGCTTGAAGTTCTAGAACAAGGAAAGGCGACCATCCGGACATTTGATGGGGACACAGAGAAAAGTTGCGGAGTAGAAACGCGGAATTGACGTCAAAAAGTCGTGTGCTCGGGCTCTGCAGTCGGGTGTTAGGAACGGGGCGTCAACGGCGAGCAGACGGCGAGACTGCAGCAAGAAGGAACGGCAGGTTCCATGCACCTCAGGAGGCGAGGTATTAGGTACCTTCCGTGCGTGGATGCCACCATGCCAGGCAGGAAGCGACGGTTGGGTCGTCACTCGTGTCAGGTCAAGTCAGGAACGGGGGAGGATTTGGTTGCTTGCCAGCTTGGGAAGGCAAGAGCAGTGGGAGCACCTTCTCTGAGAGCGAGAGAGAGCTACATCGCCCCTTGCGTGCTGTGCGAATTTACAAAGTTTGCTGTGCGTCATCCCTGTTCAAAGACCGGCCCAGCCAACTGCAACACTGTGCGCAGGTTTTTCTCATTGGGCCAAGTTCTCGGTACGTACTTGGTGACTTGAGTCCTTTTCCCCAATGCGATTGGCCAATGCACCTTCTCCATTTCAACTCCCGAGAGAGGGAGGGGAGGAAAGAACTCGAAAGGATATGGAGGGAAAGGCAGGAGCGAACGAGAGAGAGGGACCAAAACAGAAAAAGTACATACCAATTCCCAATGATCCCAGACAGCCCTCCCTGCCTTTGCATGGCCATATGAAAATTGAAAGTCGCAGCGTGCCGTCCTAGCCCTGTCACGATCGAACGATCCGCAGGTCGCCTTCCCCCACCCTTCCCTGTCCAGTCAAACTGTTGCCCGTGTTGCTTTCTCCTTACAAATCCCACCCGGTCGCCGCATTTTGCCCCTCTGTCGCCGACTTGAGAAAGAAAGGCACGAAGCAACAGCAAACGGAAACAGCACCCAGCACCGGCACCATCAGCTCCTGCCTGCACTTGCACCAATTCGCCAACCCCACCCAAGCCGACCTGCATCTGCACCTGCCTACACCTGAGCTCCTGCCTGCATCAGCAGTTCAGCACCTGCCTGCCACCACCCGCACCGTGTATCGTACCTACCTTACCTCAGGTATCACCAAACTGCGAAGGAAAGCGCGACTGCAATTGCACCTCACCAGCTGGCAACAACTGCCGCGACAATTCTCCCACCTGTCGCCTCTTCTCCTCCCTCCTCCGTTTTTGCCGCCAAACACCCCTCGAAGCTCCAGTTCACTCTCCGGCCCGGCCGTGGCAGACATCCAGTCATCCACACCTCAACTCACCTAGCACTTCCCCCCGTGTCGCTACCATTTCATCTTATTACGTACCCAATCCCGCGATACCGACTTTTTCGCGCGCCGTCTCGAACCCAGACACCTTATAACCGTGGATTGCGCAAACAAGGCCCCAAGCCCGGAAGACTCCGACCCCGCTCCGTGTGACAATCCCCGATTCGCCCGGAAGGATTCTTGTCTCGCTCAACTTTGCCCCCCGTAGCCATCCGTCTCTCTGACCAACGCAGTTGACCTCACTTTACCACGTCTGTATATCGTTATCGTCACATTCGGCCATGAGCACAATGACAGAAGCCGTTGTACCTCCTGGTCCGGCTTCCGCAGCAAAGAAGAAGTTCGCAACGCCCCCGGTTAAGATCGCCTGCCTTGCCTGGTAAGTCTTTCCCATCTACTCCTAGTCATCGAGAGGAAATGTTGGCCATGGTCACCATCTAAGACACGGTCACTATTTTGACGGCCGCACACATATCTTGGATCCGTGGCTAACAAGTAGATAGTCGAGCTTCACGTACACGATGCGATGGAGCAAGCCCATGTGCTAGTGTAAGTTTCTATCCCAGCCCTACCCATTACTCTAGTCATGCATTCAAAAGGGTGACTGACATGATATAGTGTAAAAGTCGGGGGCGCGAATGCGTCTTCAAGCCCAGCAGAAGAGGCGGCGCTCGCGTGAGGCGAAAGCCGCGGCCGGCTGAAGAGCTGGCCCAACAGGTCCAGGCGTTCGATGGCGAGATGCCTCCAGACGAGGTCACTCATCAAGATCGTGAGTCTTTGCGGTTGGGATCCTCGTCCGAGCAGCTCTTGACCGATGCTACAGCCATCTCTGTTCAAAACTACATCGATCCTGGTGCGGGCTTGAAGCAGCTGCAGGACTTCTTCCAAGACAGCGACTTCATCTTCGATACTCTGTTCATGTCGGGCGTCCCTGGCAGCACCAGCGGTGAAAGCGCATCGGAACACTCATTCAGCTTCCCAACGCCTCAAATTCCAGTTGCCAGAACGTATAAGAGTGACCAGGCCATGTAAGCAAAACAGATCCCTCTCCTGTACCTCCAAGAGAATGGTAAGAGCTCATTATCAAATAGCCTAGATGCGTACTATATCTTCATCCACCCCTTCTTCCCTATTCTTCCTGCTCCCTCAGGCCTGCCCATGGATCAAGCAGTGCCGCACTTCCAGAATGACACGGAAGGCTTCGCAGACGAATATCAGCCATCGACGCCCATCAGTCTGGCCATCTCTGCAATTCTGGCGTTGATCCCGTATCACAACGACACCAACCATCTCAACAAAGAGTCAGTGGTCTTCCGGCGGAGGTATGCGCAATACCTAGCACAATGCGCCATCGAGAGCATCGAGATCGAATCGGAGATTCCGGATTCGTCCATTGAGCCGCCTAAAGCGCTCAACGAGTCTCCAGACGACTTCCCAAGGCAGCAATTCCACCCTGGCGTGCCTATCGAGCTGGAGAGTATCATCGCCTTGGACATACTAAGTGTGTATGAGTATGCGCAACGGGGCAACCTGAAGAAGATGCAGGCCCGGGCAGGCCAAGCCCTGGTTGCTGCCATGTCTTTGTCTATCCACACCTGCACCGAAGACGATGCATTCTCAGAAGCGAGGCGAAGGGTTTGGTGGATGACGGTGCGTTTCTCTTGCCCTACTTGGCAACACAACTCGCTGACGATGCTTCTAGTATATTTGCGTTTGCCAAGGATCGATTGTCAGCAACTCAGTATGTCCATTTCATCCCGCGCTAGGAACAAATGTTAACAGTGTCATCCAGGAACCAACATTTTCAGTGTTTACTCCTAGCTACACCGCCAAGTACCCCGTGATACAGTCGGATCCTGAGGTACGTATCATGACGAACCGATTAGGACTGATGCTGACCATTGTCTAGGCTTTTGCCGTCTACATTCAGGCACAGCAAGCGATCCTGTCAGCGACCCAATTTGTCATCGAGCTCAACAAGACTGTAAAGTCCGGCGGTGACATGGCGCGCATTTACGCGCGCATGAAGGAGATGGAGGCGTACCTCGAACCTCTTAACACCATGGCTGACTCTTGGATCCTTCAGTCAACGACAACAACGCCACTGGATCCTACAGAAGAGGTTTTATCACGCTCCCTCCGGTGCATGGCTCGAATCAAACTCAACAGGTAAGAACCTGCAACTTCTTCCACATCAGGTGCAGTTGCTGACAGCCAACAGCGCACGAATCAAGCTTCACCGATACTGTGCTTTCTTTGACATGCCCGTCTTTTCCGGCAAATACTGCGATCTCAAGTCCAAGGCCGACAACGATTCCAACATGGAACCACGGAGTTGGCCGTCATGTTCATGTAGCTCCATGATGAGCTTGCCATCACCACCAGTGGCCATGTCAAATGGATCGACCTCGCCACCAGGAAAGAAGTCTCCTCACTCGGAACACTCGCCTACTAGCCAGTCGCCAGCGACGTTCCCCTTCAGCAGTCATCAGTCGGCCAAGATCTGTCTCAAAGCGGCCATCAACATTTCACAATCCTTTGACGACCTACCGTACCCCAATCCCTTCGGTCAGCTATGCCCCGCCCCTTGCTATCTGGCACCCACATCGACCATCGTATGTCCGAGGACAATGCCCTCGTTCGCTTGCTGTGCTATGCAATGCGCGTACGCCTTGCTTATGGTCAATCACAAGACCAAGGCCATGTATCCGGAAAACGCAATGGCCACGCCGATGGTGGAAAGCCTCCTGATGCGACTGCAGACGGGGTTGGCCTCTATCTCGGCGACATTGGAAAATTATGCCACGGCGTTTGAAGCACTCGGTGGGATGCGCGGTAAGAAACCCCTCAAAACTTTTCAGACTTGGCTCGCCCCTGGTCATTTGGCCCATTGCTTTTTTCGTTGTTGCTAACGTCATGCTGCAGACCAAATTCGGAGTGTCATCGAACCCACCATGATGTTTGACGGTCCGGTCCAGTAATGGCCCGATCGGCATTTCGCCTCCAGTTTAATTATCCCCAGTCTATCTGCAGACTGCCTCGCATCTCGCCGGGCGCCCGCATTTTGGTTTCTAACAGCATCTGACGACATCCCGATATAGGATCTGAACACGGCCTCTGGGTGGAGTCTCGGGAACGTCTGGGAAAAAAGGGGGGAGGGGGGGTTTTGCGGGGTTTGCTCACTTATCAGCAAAGACCGGAGATCGAGACAAGTCCGACATGCAACAAGCCGCAATCTGTGCGCCAATCTGAGGGGTATCGAACGACTGAAACGAAGTGATGCATTTGCTCCGAGGGCGTTGAGGGAACATTTAAGATTTTGTCATTTGCCATGATGGGACGACACAAAGCTGCAGCGACAGATTCCAACAGAGAATTCGGAGTTGGATCAGGAAATCAGAACACAATATTAGACTACTACCCCTCTCAAAACATATCCTTACCACCTTCAAGATGCCTGTCTCCGGATCTCTGAGCAACGTGGACTGGTAAGAAGCCCGGTCGGCTTTTGCCTCGACACACACACTGCCACATGAAGCTAATAATACTGGCCAACTAGGGAACCAAGCTTCTCCACGCTTGCAGTTCACGGCGGCCAAGAGCCAGACCCGGTCAACGGCTCTCGAGCTGTGCCTCTGTACCAGACAGCTGCGTACAACTTCACAGATGCCGCTGGTCAGTTGTCTCTTACCATTGGACCGGTCACGCAATACGTGTATACACTTACTGACGTTGGAGGAATGCAGATGGCGCCAGCAAGTTCGCATGGAGCAAAGACGGCTACGTTTACACGCGCATGGGCAACCCGACCAACAGCGTCTTCGAGACTCGCATGGCGATGCTCGAGGGCGGCGTCGGCGCCGTCGCCGCGGCGTCTGGCCACGCTGCGCAGTTCATGGCGCTGACCAACTGCTGTGAGCCCGGCCAGAACTTTGTCAGCACCAGCTGGCTGTACGGCGGCACATACAACCAGTTCCGTGTGTACATGAAGAAGTTCAAAATCGACGTCAAGTGGGTCGTCGGCAACGAGCCCGCCGATATTGACGCCGCCATTGACGAGAACACGCGCTGCGTCTACATTGAGACGATTAGCAACCCCAAGCACAGCGTCCCGGATATCAAGGCCATTGCCGATGTGGCGCACAAGCATGGCATCCCGCTTATAGTCGACAACACCTTTGGCATGGGCGGGTACCTCTGCCAGCCCATCAAGCAGGGAGCCGATATCGTGACGCACTCTGCTACGAAGTGGATCGGCGGCCACGGCACATCAATGGGCGGTATCGTCATTGATGGCGGCCACTTTGATTGGAGCGCGTCTGGCAAGTTCCCCGGATTCACAGAGCCGGCGGACGGATACCACGGACTGAAGTTCTGGGAGACGTACGGGTACAAGGCGCTCTCTGCAAAGGTGCGGATGGATAGCATGCGTGATCTGGGACCGTGCCTGAGTCCCTTCAACGCATGGCTCCTGCTCCAGGGCTTGGAGACGCTCGCGCTGAGAGGAGAGAGGCACGCCGAGAACACACAGAAGCTGGCCGAGTGGCTCGAGGCGCACCCCAGCGTCAACTGGGTGCTGTACCCCGGCCTCAAGTCGCATCCCGACTATGAGTACACCAAGAGGGTGTTCACCAACGGCGCGGGCGGCGTCTTGACCTTTGGCGTTGTAAGTTGACTCCCGACGACAAATCCTGCTAGGAAGTAATCGCTAACCATTCCCAAACACAGGCCGGAAACATCGAACAAGTCCGCTCCGTCGTCGATAACCTTAAGCTCTGCTCGCATCTCGCCAACGTCGGCGACGCAAAGACGCTCATCATCCACCCCTGGGTGACGACGCACCAGCAGCTCCCCGACGAGGAGAAGATCAAGGGCGGCGTCACCCCGGATCTCATCCGCGTATCGGTCGGCATTGAAGGGTTCGAGGATATCAAGAGGGACTTTGAGCAGGCGTTTGACAAGGCCGGGTTACCCGCGGCGACCAAGACGGGCGGTGATCCGTTTACCAAGGCGCTGAACCTCGTTTCAGGAGGGTTCATGGGCAAGTCGTCGACTGGTGCGCCTAGGCCTGGAACGGATGGGACTATCTCTGTTGAGGCTTGAGGAGTGTTATGGGAAGCGTGGCTTTGGGAGGTTCTTTGGTTTTTATATCAAGGCGTGCGCGGGGATTGGTAGATGGGTTCTGTGTGCAGGGACTACGGTAGATACCTAGATGAGATGGTCGCTGAGGGCAGCAATGTGATGATATTCCAGTCCGCTTGGGGAAGGCAGTTGAGGTTTTTCGAACTAGATGAACCTCCATGCGTAGTTTTGAGAGTGTATGAGTGATCGGTGCCATCAGCCCTCGTGAACGTGGAGAAGAGGCCTTGGATCGGAGCTCTGCATGTGAGATAGCACGGCTTTGCGTGTAGGTTACACCTCATGTAGGTTTGCGATGAATGTGCCGGTAGGTGGTACACTGGTACACTGAAGTAAGGTGTCACAGCATCTGCATTTTCCTGTTGCGACTTTTTCGGGTGGTACCTCAAATGTGAGTAGCCATGGAAGGCGCGGGCACGTGCATATACGCTCGTGAGATGGTGCCTGCCTGCCATGGCATGTTGTGATACCCCTCTGTCCCTCCGGTGCCCCGCGTTCCGTCACCTTTGTCCGGTTACATCATCAGGCGCAACAACCTAGACACAGTCATTGAAACTCAACGACACCTCATCTTCCCGTACTTCAAACACCATAGAGCATCAAATCCCCACTCACGAGGGCATAACCACATTCTTCAGGATCCAAGATCACAGCTTAAACTGCTCAAGATTCCCTCTACCAAAGAACATCAACATACCGCATCTGCCTGCCTTGACAGCCCGGAAGCCTACCATGGGCTTCATACCGCCTCACATCCTCAAGGCCAAGGCCGCAAGCCAGGACGTCTCTGTCGAAGAGCGGGAGGCGTCGCAAAGGACGCTGGGCTTGGATGGGGCTAGGCGCACGGAGAGGGAGGGGAAGGGTGGTGATGGGGAGAAGGGGAACGCGAGTGGTGGTGGTGCGAGTTCGACGGAGGGGAAGAAGGGCGAGGAGGTGAAGAAGTGATAACTGGGAGAGGATGAGGCTTGTCGCTGTCGAGATTGGAACGCTACCCACGACTGGACGAGATATTTAATGGCCGCGAAATACCGGAATGAAGAACACCTTTATACTGGACCCCGAAGAAAGAAACGAGACACCGAGCGGGGATCAAGATCAGGGGATGTATGTTGGAAGTCCCTCTTGCTTGTTGGGAACAATGGCAAACCGCAACAGGCCTCTACCTTAACCAACGAATACTACAAATCGCATTCCTTATTGCTCTGAAACCTTGAACAGAAGACCTGCCATCACGGGCTGACGGGTTGACAGGTGCATGGGCGATCTCGGGATGATGGGAAACGCGCATGTCACTGGCATTTTTTCGTCTCAAATTTCCCCAGAAAATCAACCTGGTGTGCCAGGAACCGACCAACCTGACTAAACACACAGAATAAGAAGAGAGATCCACCCGCGCATCCAACCAACCGCAGCAGACCCAGATTTTCGCATATGACCAACACGTCGAGAATCAGTCGATGCGAAAAAAGAGCGGCGGACCCTTGCATTGCGGGAGTTCTCGGTCCCGCCGGGGCAGCAGCTCAAGATTGAAGACTTCCAAAAATCACACGGTCGCCCCGGCGTCCTGCGGCGGATCGACCCTGGGCCAACATCAAGGGACACCCGACTGTGACCCCGCTACATATTCCCGCGGTGGATCCCGCCCGTCTGCCTGGATCCCATGCTGCCCCCCGCCAGCACTCAGCGCCAGCGAGAAAGTGGTGCGACTTTTGCACGAACGAGAATATCAGACCATCATCGGCCGGTATCCTTCAGCCCGACAATAGGACTGCACCACGCGAGACCAGCGGCCATCAGATCATTGGATTCTTCTCGGCGCATGATGACGCAGGGAGATAGGTTAGGTTTTGCGAAAGAGATGTCGTCCCTGTCAATGGCTGTTCGGATGGGGATCCCTTTCTCGTTCAAATATCGCGGGGTCCCCTCCTTCTGACGCGTTTGAAGGAGGGTACAAGAGGGACATTTAGAAGAACCATTCACGATTCGAGTATTGCCAAATCGAAAGGACGACGATCACCAGTGTTCGAAGGAGTCCGCAACTTTTGAGCAAAGTGTTTATACCGATACATTCGAGGGATTCGACTAGCATTGGGAGACCTCAAACACCACGAAAAAACACCACAAAGCTCATCCCCGCCAATAGCGAATAGCACCGCCAAGATGGGTCTCATGAGACACATGAACCACATCGACCGCGAGGAACTCTACACAGACCTCGAAGCCCGCATCCGCTACCTCCACAGCTTCCTCGACTTCAGCAGCAGTACGTCTCAAACTTTCACAGTCTAAAGTAGACACATACTAAGCAAAATCCCCTCCACCCACAGAAGACATCGAAGCCCTCATCAACGGCGCAAAATACGTCAAGGCCCTCATCCCCGCCGTCGTCAACATCGTCTACCACAAGCTACTACAGTACGACATCACCGCCCGCGCCTTCACCACCCGCTCCACATCCTTCGAGGGCCCCATGGACGAGGTCCCCGACGACAACTCGCCGCAGATTCTGCACCGCAAGATGTTTTTGCGGGCTTACCTCGCCAAGTTGTGTTCTGATCCGAGTAAGATGGAGTTTTGGGAGTATCTTGACAAGGTTGGGTATGTTGTTCTGTTCCCTATCCCTTCCTCCTCGTCCCGTGTGGACTTTGACGAAATGTCAAGAAACAAGGAAAGAACACAGGCTAACGACACAACGCAGAATGATGCACGTAGGCCTAGGCCGCAAACACCCCCTCAACGTAGAATACATCCACCTAGGCGCCTGCCTCTCCTTCATCCAAGACATCATGACCGAAGCCATCCTCTCCCACCCGCGGCTGGTGATGCAAAAGAAAATTGCACTCGTCAAGGCCCTGGGGAAAGTCATCTGGATCCAAAACGACCTCATGGCGAAGTGGCACTGTAAAGATGGCGCAGAGTTCCAGCGCGACGGCGACGAGGAAGGGGAAGGGATCGAGATTGAGGAGGAAGGGTATCTTCATGGGAGGAGGATTTTGGAGAGTGAGAGTGATGAGGAGACTGCTGTTAATGGGGTTCCTGGTGGGAATGGACCGAAGTCGCCGAGTAGGTTACCTACACGGAGGCCGAATAGTCCCGGCAGCGGGGGTGGGGTGTGTCCGTTTACGGGGATTTCGGCGGGGATGGAGGGGATGAAGATCTCTGAGGGCAAGACGGAGAAGGAGGAGGGACCGCAAAAGGTTGAGGCTTCTGTTTAGATCGATGTCGGCAGGTATTTTGTGAGGGGTTTCTTTTGCATTGCTTGGGTGCATGGTTGAATGGCGTTTGGGGGTGTATAGCAACAGGTCTCGGCTCAATATTGACGACTTTTACGGTTCGACTGCTGGTGCTTGATGTGACTGTATTTTGTTGGAGAGGGAACAGGCAGTACTGAGAGGCTCTTCATGTAAGTGAGGGCACTATCTCCCGCGAATCTAACTCTCCCGAGCTGAGGTACCTCCAAATCAGAGGTCTATCTGCTATCGGTTCAAGTATGAATTATCCTACAGAGTCTCGCGTAGCCAGCAAAGTAAAGTTCAAATCCAACAACTATGGTACCGGGAAGCACCCCGATACCTGGTCCTCTCCCGCAAGCTCCAAACCTCAAGTCCATATACAAGACCAAAATCCAGGCCATTTCAATCATCCTCACAGCTGAAAGTCGGGTCCTTCAGTCCGACGACGCTTCTTGCCTTGATAGACGGACACGCGTCCGAGCATGCCCTCCATGTTGCCTCTCATCTCCTCCAGCTGCTTCTCCAAGCTCACCGTGTACGCCTCCTTAGCATTCGCCGCGTTCATCTTCTCGCTGCACTTCTTCGCCAGCGCCTCCACCTCGCTCCTCTTCGCATCTATCTCTGCCTTTCGGGCATTCACCTCGGCCTTCTCAGTCTGCAATTCGGACTTCATGGCTTCCATGGCCAACTTCATCGCGTCGAGCTTGCTCTCCATGTCGCTCGCTTTCTCATTCGCCTGACGGGAGATCTCTCGCTGATGCTGCAACTCGCGTGCGGATACAAGGCGCTCGTCTCTAACTGCGTAGCCGCTGCGCGGGGTGTATGGAGTGGCATGCGATCGTTGTTGAAGGCAGAGAATTTCGCCGTGGAGCCGCTGGGTGAGGGCATCCTTGGCGCTGATATCTTTCTTGAGCTGCTCCATCTGATTCAAATGCGTAGCGGAAGTCTGCTGGAGATTCTGTTGAGCTTCAGCGAGCGCGGCTTCGGTGCGTCTGTCGCCTTCGTTCTTCACTTCCATATCACGCCAAAGCTCGGTGACCTTGGCGCGGCTCTGCAGAAGCTCGTTGTCGAGCTCAGTGAGCTGCTCAGCAAGTCCTTCGCTGATCTTGATCGCCTCTTCCTTTTCTTTCTCAAGCTTGGCTGTAGTTTCGTTCAGTTCCACGTTCGCTTCTTTGACTTCATCAACTGCCATCGTCAAGGCCTCGATGTGTTCACCCTGAGACTGAGTCTTGTCCTCCAGCTTACTCAACTTGTTATCCACGCGCTTCTTCTTGCGGTCCATCTTCTCCATCTTGGCCTCAAGCTCGGCGTTACTGTCACGAAGAGACTGTCTGTTTTCAATGAGAACGTTTCTCTTGCTGATGAGCTTCTCATTGTGCTCCATTAGAGCCTCATTCTCTGAGTCGAGCTTCTTGCTGAGGTTGGCTAGTTCTTTGTCTTGGGTATTGCAATCGAGGATCTTGGTCTCAAGCTTCTTGTTCTTCTTGCGGAGATCGTTGATGAGAACCTTATGTTCTCTGATTCTTGCTGCCTGGTCGTTTCTCTCCTTGGCAAGCTTTGATCTCTTGTCGCGGATATTTCTCATTTCAAGTTCCATGTTTGCAATTGTGGCGGACTTTCCAGCGTTGTCCTTTTCTAGTTGGATAGTTCGTTCTCGAAGACCTCCTGTTTCGATGTTGATTGCTTGCATATCATGTCGCAGCGACGCTGCCTCAGCGCGGAGTCGTTTCACGAGCTGCTGCAACTGCGGTCGAGAAATATGATCAATTCTCTCAAGTAGATTTTGAGTTCCCTTGCCGAGTTTCGTCGTGATACTCTTGTTCGGCCCGTCTCCAGCATTCATAGGCTGAGCGTCCAGCTGTAAAGCCTGAGGGTTGGTTAACGCTTTCCCTGTGGCTTCCTTATACAGCGTTCTCCAGAGCGAGGTTTCCTGCTCGTAAGCCTTCTGGATGATCCGGAGTCGACTAGTTTCCCACGTTCCTCGTGACGTGGGTGCAGACCTGGTACACTCCTTGTCGCAACAGTGCTGGTAGATCTCACCACCACTGGAAACGGGATACCATCGCAGATAAGGCGCCCCGAGGGCCCTTTGGTCTGCTGGCGTTGGGTGAATGCTGCATGTTGCAGCAATGACGGCACCATTGCGACGCTCGTCCTGGTTGTGGCGGGCAATGAGCGTGACGGCGATGATGCTAACGATGCGTTTGTCCTTGCGGGTGACATCGATGATAAATCGCCAAGATTCACCTGTAACTCTGAAGGTGGTACCTTCGCCACTATAGGCGCGCAGGAGATAGTTGAGTTGGCAGTGGCTGGTTGCTGGAAAGCCGTAACTGACAGCGAGATGGTTAAAGACCGGTTTCCAGTGATTCCAGCAATCTTTGTCGACCTCGAGACTCATGCCGGCGGTGCGATGAAGTCACGAACTTTCTCTGTGGTGGTGATGACTCGAGACTGTTGAAGGCGTAAGAGGACAGCGCGAGGGCGACGCGAAGTGAGCTCAGTGAGAATCGAGAATCGAGAGAGCGTCGAAGACTTGAGGAGCGTCGAAGACTTGAGGAGCGACGCAGGAATTAGCCTGAGTATGCGGGTGCAATGTACGACAGAGGTAAGATTGGGGAGCAAAAGAACTGCAGGACGGCGTGGTATCTGTCAGGAAATGCCAGGGGAAATCCTCTGCAAGGGGATATGGTCGGCACCTTCAGAGGAGAGAAAGGCGAAGTCTTCCGGGTGTGCAGTTGAGAGAGGGAAGAAAGAGGAAAATGGGAATCAAGCAGCAATTGAGGAAGGTGAAAGGCGGGCGGGCCGAGGGAAGGAGCTACTTCACCTTCAAGAGGGAGGGAAGGAGGGAGGAGCGCTGCACCTGCCTCGGATGCCGCGGTCGTGACTGCCTCGGGAAAATAAATAGCAACGAAGGCAGGTGCGTTATTCCGCAAGCCGGCTTCTTTTCTGATTTCGCATATTGTTCTTCGGCCTTTTGATACTCTTCAAAGTGCAATATGATGGATGATCGCTGGCATCTCCCAAAAGTTCTACCATCATCTGGTTTCCAGGCTCGTTTCTCTACTCTCACGATCGAAGCCAACTTGGACTGTGGCCAGGAGAGATCTTGAGGATACGAAAGTCGCGAGGACCTTCGATGAACTCAAGAACTCGACCTTATTATCCCCCAAAAGCACGCGAGCTCCTCTGTAGATACGTTGTCGCGAACCTCAACCACACTCGATTCAGACATCGCCATGCCGCCTCGTTCGTCTCAAGCCTCATACAGCTGGCTCAGCCGAACACTTGCTGGCACTGAGGACTATATTCGCGTATGGCATCGCTCCATTCGACTCATACAAATTAATTGGTCAATAGGGTACCGATTAGGTAGAGGAGGTAATGTTCATGGGCGTATGGAGCCTCGGGTTTGGGCCCGTCCATGAGAGTTCTCTAGATAAGTATCCGGCAACCTACTCCATCAGAAACAAGCTCTGACTCGGGTTCTTAGTATCTACGCTCACCGACTCAAACTTTTGATAGCAACCATCATCAGTTGCCTCGACCAGATGCTCGCGGCGGCCCCATCTTGCGCCTTTACAGGCATGAGCTGCCCACGCTTCAAACTGTTGAGCAATCTGAGCGTTGTCAACGCCATGGACCAGCAACGGCATTGAGCACCTCACATGTTCAAGCGATGTTGAGGCTGACACGGAGCACAGGCTGATTGGCGACAAATTAAAACTGGCGTGTATTCGAGGTCTCTGCTCTACGAGATGTATCTCTACCATGCCCCATCTAGAGCGCTGACCCATGCAATCATTTATAAGTACTGTACAGTTTACATTACACATTCGGTGCAAGGAGATCGTATTTAACGCAACGTTCAACCTAGGTGTCGTCAGCAATTGTTCACCATCAATACAAATGAGGTCGCTACTCACATCTTCGATGCTCGCCTGCAAGAACCGCCGGGTCTCCAGGCCAGCCCACACAACCAACATGCTGAAATCACCATGCTTCGCCATCTCGGCACCGCTCTGCGCGCTCAGCTGTCGAAGAATGGGCAGAGAGCTGCTGAGGAGATCCATATCAGGGTTCAGGCTGCGTCCAATGCCCTCGAGCAGCAAGATACTGATGACAACGTTGACAAAGTCACCCTCAAGACGGACGTGGTGTCCGCGGACCATGCCGAGAACCTCCTGCAAGATGTCGCCAATCTTGATGTTACCCAGTGCGAGGGTCCGGCTCTTTACGCCGAGGACCAGGTGCTGCATTCTGAGCGCGAAAACCTCCTTGTCGAGAACAGCATCAGGCTGGCGGCAACGCTCGCACATGAGGTTACCGGCCTTGTATCCGTCAAACTCTGCGACGGCACGGAAGAGATCGAGGAAATTCGTGCGGTTCGTCTCGTTGAGCTCCGTCACCAGGCCAGTGTCGATGAAGATGAGCTGCGGGCGGTAGCCCTCGTTGTCGATCTTGCGCAGCTCGGCCGCCCAGGCTGCGGGGTCCTTCCTATGACGGTACGGCCGCAGGCGGGCGAGGACTTGCTCTGTCACGTCGTCTTGATCTTCTGGGTGCTTCTTGGCGTGGTTTCTGCGGAACTTGAGATCCGGCTCATGGGATTGGTAGAAGCGGACCATGATGTTGCCTGGGTGCAGATCGGCGTGGACAAAGTTGTCAATCAGGAGCATACGCAGGAAGGCGTCGAGGCCCTCAGAGGCGATATCGTGCTGGAAGACACCGCCGCCATTCTCCATGAAGTCAGCTAGCGGAATACCCTGCGCAAACTCCTCGACTAGCACGTTGCGGGTGGTGAACTCGGTGTACGGATACGGAAACCATGCCGTCGTGCGGTCCGTGAAGTTCTTGCGGAACTTGGCTAGGTTAGCGGCCTCGATGCGGAGGTCAAGCTGAAGCTTCATCATCTCGCCAAACTGCGCGACCTCGTCGGGGAGGGAGAGCCACTCGATGGTGGGTATAATGTTGAGGGCGGAGGCGAAGAAGTGCATGATGCGCAAGTCTCGGCGGACGGTCCTCTCGACGCGGGGGTGCAGGACCTTGACGGCGACGTAGGTTGAAGGGACCCTCTTGGGCGTGCTTTTGAGGGCGGCATCGACGTTCTTTGCCACCTTGTGACGGAGCGGCCGGGGTTCTTGCGGAAGATCTGAGTCGCCAGGGCCGGCGAGGCTAGCCTTGAGCTTGGCCCGGTAGACCTGGGCGATGGCGCCTACGCCGAGGGGCTTCTCGTCGAACTCTTCGAAAATGTCATTGAAGCCGCGTCCATCAAAGGCGGCAGAGACGATGCGCTTCGTGTCGTGCATGGAATGCGCCGGGGCATTGGAGTGGAGTTTGGACATAATTTCGCACATTTCGTTGGGGAAGATATCGGAGCGAGAGGCGGCCCATTGACCGAGCTATGCGGTGTTAGTGACATTGCCTTCGTTTGCAATTGAGGGTGATCATTGAGCTGTACCTTGATGAAAGCTGGGCCAGCCCACTCCATGGACAGTACCAAGAAGCCGTACCACCATAGCGTGCCACTCCTCTCGTTGTCGCGATCTTTCTGCCGTCTGCCGAGCCACAGAGCAGGAACGGCGACAATGACGGGGACGAAGATGACGAGCAGATGGAGGAACCGCACACCGGTGCATAGGGGCTCCCAAATGTAGACGTCAACCGCAATCTTCAGCGTATGCCACGCCCTTGAAATTCCACTATCGTCGTCGGCGACCTTCTTCTTGATCTCGGCTCGGCTTACTTCCAGCATGCGCTTCTCGCCCGTCTGGTCGGTGCCTCCATTATCCTTCTCCGAGAGCTCAAAGAAGGCGGCTGTGCCGAGGGCACCGGCACCTGCACCGCCGGCTCGAAGGGTATATTTGGTATATCGACCGCGGTCACCGCTGCCGCCGGTTCGCCATGGTATCCGTCTCGGCTGGTGGTTATGGGAGCTCCGGAAGGCGCTCCTGAATGTGGAGTAGAAATGGGCTGTGCCGTTCGGCGCTGGCGCTCGGAAGCCGGGGCGTGGACAAAACCGGCCCAGGATGAAGGCCAGTCTCATCTCGAGGGAGGATCGGGGGTTGATGATCGGAGGACCGGTATCATGTTCTCAGTGTCGAAGGGTGGGGGGAGAATGATGAGATTCGAAGTGGGAGAGGGGGAGGGACGGCGCGGGAAGGGAGGTGAAGTCGCGCGGCGCCCAGGATCGCGGGATCGGGGACCGCAGGGGTGACGGACGAATGCGAATGGAATAGGGCGTTTTTGGTGCCATTGGTGGTGACGTAGGGATTTTTGGTGGCACCCGACAGGTGGGTAGTGAGGTGTACCTTAGCTGTGGCGGGGAATCTTCGGGGGATCATGTGCCACTGGATCAATGACACTCCTATTTTTTGGCGTTCATTTTGCTGATTTGCACTCTGCAGGGCATGTGCAGCAATTAGGTAGGCGTCGCGGGTTTAAGTCGGAAAGCAATCGCGGGTCTGTCCGATGGCGATTGCGCCTGTCTTACCTTCTTCTGCAGGGGATGCTTTTTTTTTCTCAGTGGGCTACGGGCAAGGAACAGCCACTGCGGTTCCGTCGATTACGGATGCTAAGAACCCACCGTGGAACCTCGCCGTTCAACTGGTTCTTTATCCGCGCCCTTTTTTCCTCTTATCGTCGACTCCGTCACCCAAACCGTAAATCTTTTTTTCTTCCAAGTTCCATTCGCGATACCTTCAACCACTTCACCACTTCACTCGTGTGCTGTCGCGTCCAACCTGCCTTCTTGTACAATACCTTACTTGCTCTTACCACTTTTATCTATTTTACCTAATCTCTTCGACTGTACATCATGGGTTGGTTCTGGGCCGATGCTCCTGCGACAACCGTCCACGCGACATTCGCCTCATCGCATCCTCATGGCGCCATCCCGTCCGGCTCTCCTCCTGTATGTCCAATCACCAATTCAAGCAATATCAGGCACCATCTAACATCTCCTAGCCCAGCTGCCCGATGCACCAAAAGTCCGCCGATGCATTAACCACGACCGCGAAGCCCGCCGCACCCGCTCCTCCCTCAGCCTGCCCAGTCCCTCACGACCAGCGTCACGCCGCAGCAGCAGCGCCCCCTCCTCCCTCAGCATGTCCCGTCCCCCACGACCAAAGACACTCTTCCGCCGCCGCACCGCCAGCATCATGCCCAGTCCCACACGACGCACCAAAGCCCGCCGAACCCAAGGGCTTCCTCCAGCAAATAAACCCCCTAAACTACATGTTCAAGGACCTCTCTCAGGAGGCCGCCGAGAACCAGGCCGTCGCGCTGCCGACGGAGAGAGAGCCCTCGACGATACCCAGGGGCTCTGGCGATGGGAACTGGGAGTACCCTTCGCCGCAGCAGATGTACAATGCCCTTCTGCGCAAGGGATACACCGATACCGACATCACTGCCGTGGAGTCCATGGTCTCGGTCCACAATTTTTTGAACGAGGGCGCTTGGGCTGAGATTGTCAGCTGGGAGGAGCGCTTTGGCAAGGGCCTGTACAGGGGCTGGCAGTCGTGCAAGCGCGGCGAGGAGAACTCGGAGGATATGGTTGAGAGGTTGAAGGACGGAAGCGAGACGCCCCCGACGCTCATCCGGTTCCAGGGACGGCCGAAGGATATGACGCCCAAGGCTGTCATGTGGCAGGTTGCCGGCTGGCTCTACCCATCCAAGTTTGAGTGCGTCCCCTCAACTTTCACAACCCCGTTGAACAGATGCTAACGTACCTACTTCCAGAACCGAGCCTCCCTTTGACCGACACGACTGGTTCGTCTCTCGCAAGGTCGGCGGCGTCGAAAAGGAAATCCGATACGTCATCGACTACTACTCTGGCGAGCCCGAGCCCACCGGCGAACCCGTCTTCTACCTCGACGTGCGACCCGCCGTCACGCCTCTCGGCGCGGCGGAGCGGCTTATCAGATGGGGAGGCGACGTGTGGTGGCGGGCCTCTGGCGCCGAGGTGCGCGAGCAGGATCAGCTTGCGAAGCACGTGGGGCAAAAGTAAAGAAACACAAGGGGCGACGAAGAAGCGAAGAACAAACGACGGCGAAAACGAAATAAAGTACCGAGATGAGAAGCAGGCAGGCTTCTGTTTTTGCTTGCGGCGTGCATAACTTGGGAGGCCCGATATGGTTGTTTTGGACGGGTTTCCCACTCGACGGCGGCGTTTGACACGATAACAACGGTTCGATTATTTGGGATTGAATGAAGAAGAACACTCATTCTTCTTCTTTTCCTTTATTTCCCCCACTCCTCATTGTTTTTAATACTATGCCTATAATGACCTGTATAGTACGCCCAGAAAGCGGCATGTATTCAACCTATTTTTTCAACGTTGATACGAGACGGATGGAATAAAAAAGATTTGTTTCCAATTCACATTACTTCCACTACTGACTTGGCTGACGTCCCGATTTCTGTCTTTTTGACAAGACAAAAGTCCCTCCTTTCCACCACGTCCAGATTAAGTGGTCTTGGCAGCAAGAGCAGTAACCTGATCCAACAAAGCCTTACTCTCCTTGGGCGCATTCTTTAACACCTTATCCCGCAAATGATCAACCTGCTGCCCCGCCGCCGCAGGCGGATTTCCCTGCGCCGTCTGGATCCTCGAAACCTGCATCGACAAGAAGAACTTGGGCACCTTGATGCCCAAGTTCCCGCCCACGGACCTGATGCCCGCCTCGGTAGCGACGTACGCATCCAGCTCGTTCTGGAACTTGGCGAGGTCGTTGGAGGCCAGGGGTTCCGTGGTGGCGAACTTGTCGAGGGCGAAAGCCAGGGGTGTACTGGAGGAGTCGGCGAAGTTGATGGAGGAGAAGGTGACGCCGCCGGCGGAGACGTCGGGGACGTTGGAGAGGGTCTTTTTGGAGGCGTCGCAGTTTATTTTGGCTTCGATGGAGGCGGCTGCGTCGGAGACTTCTTGGGGGAGGACGGTGTTGCCTACGATGAAGCAGGCGTTTTGGCGGGGGACGAGTTGAGGGGCTATGGTTGTGGTGATGTTAGTTTCTTGGTGTTTTTGGTGTGGATGAGAGGATGAGAGGATGGGAAGATTTACCTGCGAGAGCGGCACCGGTGCTGGCGGCGAGGACGGCGAGGGAGAGCTGCATCGTGAGAGATTATGGAGTAGTCTGACGAGAGAGGTGGTCTTGGAAGTAATGCAAAGTTGGAAACGAAACGAAGCGAATGCCTTTCCGGAAGGACTGAAAGTAAGAGCAAAAAGAACGAATAGGTTACGATTAACTGCTGCTGTCTCAGAAACAAAGACAACTCGAGGCGGGAAGGACTGGACATGATCGCCTTTTAAGCATCACATCAATCTTGAATCACAAGGAGAAGAGAGCAGGGGGGGTGTTGCGGCTGCGGTGGGTTGCTTGGCAAATAAGCATAGGGCCGGTATTAGACTCCTGTGCCTGGTATGTTGGATCGGTGTCCCCAGTCCAAGTCTAAACATCGCCAAAACTTGCTTTTGGGTGTTGGGCGTCACCGTTTGCGGGAATGCTGGTGTTGCTTGTCCCCTGCTCCAATCCGTCTGGGTTCTGGAAGGGGTGACTTGGGGCGACTCAACTTACTTTTCACTCAAGCCTACCCATCATCCCAGGTCATCTACACTGAGTTACAAGAGAGAACAGTAGCTAGGATGCTGAGCCCTGTCAGCGCTCAGCATTAAGCCCAAATCCTCGCCTGCTTCGGATGATGGGTGCCGGGGAACGAAGAAGGAGGAGGGGAAGATTTAGGTTGGCATAGTCTCAAGGAGTCCGCGCGAAGCGTGTACTCCTTGCCGAGGGAGGCTATACCTAGCGACTCACCTGTACGCAGATGCCCAGTTGAACCGTGACCATTGCCATATTTGCAGAGACGAGGGCAGACAAGACTGACAAGAGTCCAAAAAGAGAAGGCTCTTGCAACAATCCAAGTATCAGAGGCCAGTCGGCTCGTCGCTCGATGCGGTAAGGCTGTCCCTGACGGCCTACTTTTGAGCCGCTTGTGTCTCGGGCTATCTTTTGGTTCCCCCCCTGCCCCTACCCCATATCTCTCCATCTGAATAAGAGACCCGATGACTTATAACATGGTCTTTAGCGACAGACATGACAGGCCAACTCAAACCTTGAAATGGGAAGAGAGAGACGCCTGGGAGGGAGTTTGGGTTGGTGGGCTGATTGGATGCGAGACAATGGTGGGGTTCACCTCTTCTTCTTCTTCTTCCCCTTCGCTTCAGATCCGAGGAGGCCCCCTGGTCCCTGTCTCAACCACAACACCAGACGGGATGGTTTCAGGGTTCGTTGAGCCACCCAATAGCGAAACGGGCGACGGGGATCGTAGGTGTTGCAGAGCTGAGAATCGCGGCGCGGGTTGCGACGTCGTGGGAGAGCCTCCAATTTTTTGTCTTGGGAGGCCGGGGTGAGTTTGTTGTATTTCTTCGTATTCTCTCCCCTTCGTCGCTCAGTGTGATCCCATCAAACCTCGACTGTAGAAGAAGATGCGGCTACTGTCATGGGGGCTTGGCTTCGGGACGTCAGCCGAGAAATCAGCTGCTATTGAGACGTGAGCGACATATTGGTCCGCTTCGAGTGATCATTTCTTTAGCTTGCAACGTTGGAGATGAGGAGGGATCGGGCTCTGCTCAGGGTCGCGAGTAGCCAGTGATCCCCAGTTCCAACCTTGGCTAGAGGCGACAACGGCCTCTTGCAATTCCGGGGAGCCCTCCAGGAAAGGTACACACGGCATTGAAAGATAGCCATGTTTTGAGATATGATTGAAGGGTTTTAAGTAAAGCCTACCGCAACCAACTGTCAAAGATGTCTCCGGAGCATTGGTGACTGTCACTCCCCGGCCCATCATCTGAAGATCAACGAACCGTGCCATTGCCAAGTGGAGATCCCTCGTCTCTCAAGTGTCTACACAGCACATCAATGCTATCGCAATTGAGTCACCAAATTTTTGCAACTTGTTGGTTGTCGACCATGATCATCTTATGTGAGTCATTAAGATACCTTATCTTCGTGTTGTTTTGCTCAAAACCCCACAGTCCCGCGCGTTTTTTCCACCAGCGACCAATCAATTGATAAGTCTCTCCGCGGCGCAGAACGAAGACTACGATGAACCGATATGATATCATCAACGCTTACCTCATCTAGCATAACCAACATGGGCTTACAAACGCATGAGACCACGGCTCATCGTGGGATATAAACCGACGATAGATGCGCACATTGGACAGTAGCTGGGTGTACTCATCCCGAAACAAACCATTAATGACTGTATCTACGAGCCAAGCCAATTGTTCTTCACAAAATCTCAAAATGGGCGTAACAGAATTCTCCTACTTCACCATCAAGCCCGGCAAGACATTCCCCGACGAAGAGGGTCTGTATGACCGCGTCTTAGACCAAGCCATCAGCCAACCCGGCGCCGGGAGTATCTACTATGGCAACTCAATCGAGAAGCCTGAGCAGTCGTGGTGTTTTCTCGACTGGGATTCGGTGGAGGAGCACTCAGCCTACCGCAATACCGCGTGAGTCTCAATTTCATCGCTCATCCATGAGAATCAGATTTTCCATCCTATTCACAAGCAACTAACACACCCACTCCTTGACAGAGCCCACGCCCCCATAGGCAAAGCCGTCGGACAATACCTAGACTGGAACCAAGGCTACATAAAGCACATCGCGCCCACCCCCTGGCCCCCCACGATTCTCGCCTCAGCCCCCGTCACCGAAGTCCTCACCCTCTTCTTCCCCGCAGACCTCGACGCCGCCGCCAAGGAAGCCCTCACGACGCAGCTAGAGGAGTTCAAGACCAAGGCGCTGGATACGAGCCCCGACTTCAAGGGTATCAGCTACGGGTGGAGCGTTGAGAACGATGTTCCCGTCACGGACGAGCCTGGTACGACGGGGAACCTACTTGCTGCATTTATCGGGTGGCCGAGCATGGATGCGCATATGAAGTTCCGCGATACGGTGCCGTTTAAGGAGAATATTGGGATTCTGAGGGGGATGGAGGGAATTGTTAAGTTGGGGGTGTTTCATGTTAGTTGTAAGAGCAAGTTGCCTCCTAAGAAGGAGTGATGGGGTTATGCGAGTGCTCATAACGGGGGATGTACTATTCTGTAGTGGGAGTTGCCTGTATGGTGGTTACCGTCTTACAGGTTGCCATCTCAAGTGGATCTACGCTTCGCCAAGAATTTTAAGAAGTCAACATGCACGTACACGTACTCTCACCCTGGACTTTCAAATTCGTGCTCTGTGTATGGATATTCCGTCGTATGGACTTTCCGTTGCATGGCTTTTCCATTGTGAGACTTCCAACTAATCGACTGATCCGTCACGTCTAAGTCGGATTTCCGAACCCTTTGGGAGACAGTTAGTGACCATTCAAGCGCCGGTTTGCAATCATAACGGAGTATCCGACTTGATATACGTTTTTATACGACCCAGAAACGAGGACACCAGATATTGAAACCAAGGGGCAATGCAATATTTCGTCAATCAAAGTTTTGGATTTCGACTAGCTCCTAACAAGATAGCCTCAACATTGACAAGCCAAAGCGATGACATCACTTTCTAACGAACGAATAACCACTCAGCACTGTTAAATCCTAGCCATGGCATTCCGAACAACCACTGAATCCTGGAAGCGTGTTAGCCTTTGATCTTCAATCCAAGTACGTTGATAGAGATATAAGCTTACCGAACAGTCCGAAATCCTCTAGCACTTGTGGCGACGGTTGAAAGCACCACCGCTGATGCAAATGTCGACATAGTATCCCTTGGGGCACTGGCAGGTGCCAGTAGAGGTAGGTCTGCCGGCATATGTGCAGGACAGCGCGCAGCGGGATCCGCCGTCGCCGTTGGTGCCGGCCTTGCCGCACGAGGCGTAGCCGGAACCGCAGAGCTTGGAGGCGAAGACGGTGTTGGCGTCGCCGGCGGGAATGGTACCCGCGGCAGCGAGGGTGACCAGGGCGCTCATGGCGAGGGTGAAGGTGGTGGAGAACTGCATTTTGATGGGATGGAGGTTGGTTGTTGTGATGTAGGAGGCTGTAAGAGCGAGTGTGTAACTTGAGATTGTAGTGAGTGTGGAAGTGATCGTGATAGTGATGATGAGGTTTGAGAATGGCAGCCCAAGACTCTGGTCTTTATAGTCCAAGAAACCTGTTCATCCAGTCGTGAGATAACCGAAGCCCGTGAGTTCGGGAACATCTTCACAGCCCGGATCACCGGCATCGTCCCCAATCGATTTGACGATGCTAGGCTGTGCTCTGAGTCTGCTGCCCGCAACATAGTACGATTAGCGTCGAACCCCATACTATCGTGGTGTTGATCACAGGAGCGGTATGGAACAACTGACTGCGAACGTCAGCCTTGAGCTCGCTTTCTAGATGAAGTGGAGCTGCTAGCCCTACGGGATACCCGACTACCCGTACAAATTCCCAATAGAATGGACAATCTGCCTTCGGTCTCGGGAAAAAAGAGTCCCATATCTCGGTTTTAGAGTTGTGCACGTCCTACGCAGTATATTAACCACGCTGGCTCGTGGCTTGTGTTTAGGTGTTGGTTATGACTCGAGCTTACGGGGTTGAGCTTTTGAATACCGCGAGATTTGGAAGATCGTCAGACTGATATCCACCCCCCGCCCCGGGCCCCTTCCTGCGTCCGCGTATTGAACTATTGCGCAGCAGACAGTTGTCGCATGAGAGAAAGTGGCACTCGGGTGGACACTCGTAAGCTTTTTTCCAATTTGTTCTTCGGAGCAACGTTGGATCCCGCACCCGTTTAATGTAAAATGCGGTTCTGTCTAAGTAAGGTAGCCACAGGTGAGCCATGGCCCCCAACACGTCAATGAGAAGGATGAGCATAGTGTAGAAGCATCTCATCAACTACGGGTTGTTGACGGAGGAAGACATAATCAGGTATTTTGACGCGCTGCACACCAAAAAGTAAAGAACAAGCAACCTCCTAAGGAGTATCAAGACCTGGCGTAGATGACAATGATGAGATATGTCTAAAGTTCACATAACGTGTAGCCTCTTGTACGCCAAGGACGATCGTGTTCATCTGAATTCTGTTTATTTGGGGTGTGGATCATCCCATCTTAAACACGCTCTGTTTAAATCGCTAGTTACGGTCTGGTGTTCAATGCCAAGCCAGCCATTGCTTCTCACACCCTCCTAATCAACCACAGTCCACGACCCAGAAGGGCCATACTCAATCTCATGCGACGTGACATCCTCAAAATCAATAATCTTTAGCGAAGAATCGTGAATCTTGTCCACCATGGCGCCCGTCTCCGCCGAGGGCTGGAACCACACGGCCGCCAGCGGCTGGGGCGTCAGGGTCTCGGAGCCGGGCGGGAGGGGCCCGAACTGGCTGACGTGGACGGGGATTTCGACGCCGTTGACGGTCTTGTAGATGACTGCTGACGCCGAGGAGGCGAGGTTTTTGAAGAGGAAGCCGTTGGCGGGGGCTGTTTCGTCCGAGGCTATTTCGCCGTCGGTCCAGTCTGGTGGGAGGGTCCAGGATTCGCCAAAGGTGATGGGTTGTTGGGTTGTTGCGACGTCGAACTTCACTGTTTGGTTGGAGGTTCCCGTTAGAAAATTGAATCTTACAGATTGTGGCCGCCTTCCCTGATTACAAAGGGGGAAGGGAGAGGAGGCAGGCGGAAACTTGCCTCCGCTTGAGAAGGCGCTCATGGTTCCTGCGATGGAGTAGTCGTCCACCCATGTGACTGTCAAGTTTCGAGCGCAGACTAGTACATCATAACAGTTCAGCGAACTCAACTCAAAAAGAGGAAACGATTTCCATTAAAATACCGTACCTGAAGAATACCCGATGACGTTGAACTTGGTAGACCCCGGCCGCGCAGTCGTGTCGAAGCCGAAGCCAAGGCATAACCTGAGCCCACCGGCCTTGAACTTCTTGACCATGTTCTGGTCAATCTTGATGTTGAGCTTGTATTCCGTCATATTGGGCTATGTGGTTGTAAACGAGTTGTTGCTAGTGATTTCAAACGTTCTCTGCAGAAGTCATCAACGGAGAGACGACGACCTCCCTTTTTGTAGGTTGGCCTGGCATGTCTCCCAACCCCTTATTTCTATAAGAACATCCTGATTCCGGCCAATGATATGCTTCGGGAGAGTCTCGATGTCTCATACACAACAAATACTGAGAGCACACATGCGAATGACGCAGCTGTCTTGCCCACGTTCACAGCGGAGCCTCCTAGCTAGGCGAGTGCGAGACTGCGAGTGCGATGTCTCACACTGAGGCCGAAAGGGGAACAGCCCGCGGACCATCGTTCGCGCGAGTGTGTACGTTAACGGCCGCGTAGCGCCGCGTAGTGTAGTAGTAAATGCCGTTGAAAGATACGATTGCGGACCGGCGCTAAAAAGTTGGTTACTGGCAACGGTTCGGCTCCTTGGTGATGCACCGCTGGCGGTGCGTGTGATGCGGCGCGTGTGATGATGCGATTTTTTTGATCGAGTTCGTAAAAGGAGATGATGGACGTTTGCGAGGGTTCTTACCTCCGCCTTATCTGCGTTTTGAGAGACAGAGACATGTCTTTGGCGTCGTAGATGTCACGTTTTGGGTCGCTGTTGATCTGCATTGAGCAGGTTCGGAGTTCCGAACGCTTGGTTTTGGTTGCCACGCTATCCTGAACGCCGAAGATGATGGGAACTGGAAGCCCGGCTGGAAAATCATACCGTGATGGAAGCCCATCCTCATCCACTGCGTCGAAGTAAAGATATATCTGGACGTAATAGCTACGTTGTCTGACTTTGCAAATGTTCTCCAGAACCCTGTAGGCCTATTCTCTTGGTTATCCCATCAACTGCGGAATGGCGACAGTACATTCATTCTCCATTTTTCTCCAATTCTGCTCTTTTACGAATTCTTGAATTGAAGGAAACAAGGGAAATAGGGTCGGATTAACATGTTATTCGCTACTACCCATTATTGAAGTGCGTACACATGTACTGTCGCCATTCCGCAGTTGATGGGATATCGGCTGCCTTAGCTACTAGCAGGCTTTGCAAGTTCAGGGCGAGTTGCACCGGAGCCAAAGATATGCTTCCTATTTATCAAGATGTAACAGACATAAAACCAAACCTCACTTTTGTAGAATCGCACAGCCAAAATTGGCCCGTATGCTAAGTGCGCTGGATTCAGTGCTTTCGGTACGCCAGGAGATGAGGCGAGGTTGAACTTCCGAAGGCCAGCTCCATCGGATGCGGTTGGTCGTGTGGTGGTTTTCCAAAGGTTCTGGGCCTTTTGACTTCGATCTCAACTGACCATGTTGAATCTTTCCTGTCCTTCTCACCAAGTGCTCATTCTCAGAGGATCAGCCTAGATGCTGGACTTCATGATAAGACTCCGTAGAGATCATGCTTTCGGAAGCAAGGGAGAATCCTTTGTGGCCCACGAGGGGGGATAGTCCAGCTCACAGCCACCATTGTGTAACTGTAGATGTCTACACACAGACTCCTCTCAGCTTAACCTGCTATGGCGGTTTTTACGCGACACGCAGATAGAGATAAACCACTGCGAAAAGTACAAGCAGAAGCAGACCAACCAGGCTGATGTGCCTAACAGTCTGCATAGCATCCTTGTCTTCAACAACCAAGCCCTCAACCTCCGGTAGAGAACCAGAAATATCATTCCTTCTGGACTTCTTCAACCTCTTCGAAGTATTCGGATCATACAGATCAACAAACTTCGAAGCCTCCTTCAGACTCCTAAGCGAAGCCCTCCCAAGAACAGGATCCCCAACACTCTGACGATACGGACGCAACGCCTGGAGATGAACGCAATAACACTGCCGAATGTTCACATACGAGTTCTTCGCCAGCGGCGGACAGTTATCCGGGAAGCAGAGCTGTGTGTCGGGCATGGCGGGGTGCGTTGCGGGTTTGATGGGTGCGTAGTTGAGCCAGTGGTTCCAGTCTGGGGTGTGGGCTTGGGCGATGCCGCGTGCGCCCATTGAGGTGATCTGTGGGAGTAGTTAGCATGCCGTTTGATGTTATGAGGTTTGCTGGCGCAGGTTCGATTACTGGACGTACCATGAGTATCTCGACGAGACCTTCAGGGGAGGGGACCCTGGACATGATTATCACCGGGTGGTGGTATGCGCCTTCTTCCAGATTAGGATCGAGGTCGGCTGGTATGCGATGCCTTGATGGGAGCCACATGATTTGGCCAGAGAGACTGTTGGAAATCTGGCGAGGTCTGGATAGTTGAACCCTCGGTTTCCTGTTCGACGGGGGCATTGTTGTCCGAGACAAGCAAGGTATTTGAGGCTGTAACTCTGGTATGAAAGGGGGAGGTGAGATTGATGAGGCCAATCGAGGGAAAGAAGCGGAGTTGATGACGACGACACAAGTCATCAAAGATTGGAAATTCAATCAAGAAAGAAATGCTGCCTCGAAAACTCCGTAGTGTAGATGTTGTTCACTTCAACTCACTTCACGTTTGAGTTTGGCTGGCTGGATCTGATAGAAGCCGAGTTGATGTTGCAACGGAGATAACTTCCGTTGGTCGTCACCGTTGGTTGGGACCCAGAATAGGTGCCGAACCCCAGGTCAGGAACAGGGGTCAGGCTCTAGGTCCTCAGGCTTCAAGAGAGCACCTGCATCTGCATCTGCATGCTCAAGCGACTTGTCCGTTGGTCTTCGGGAACTACCTACCTAATCATGGAACGGCCCGAGCCCGAAGATTTCCGCGCATTCTTCTCTCTGGTAGAAGGCGTCCTAGAAATGCAAACGAGCGCCCCATCATTGCTTCATGTCTATTCAATCAAATAAGATGGGTATTAAGCTTTAGTACAAGCGTACAATGTTCTTCAAGCCTACCACCTCCGCTGGACATTCCATTCCAAACCAAATCCGAGTAATATCATGGACTTCTCACACTTATCTATGTGCCTCTCCAGTGTAAGAACAGTCAGAATTCAATCCAGAAATCATGTGCCAGGCAGCTAGGCTAGAAAGACGCATCCAATAATAAGTCTTTGTAAGGTAATATTTGGTAAGGTGGGGGGGCGATGTGGTGATGTGCCAAGCAGGCGATGCGGCGCAGTGGTTCATCAAGGAGATCGCACCTCATCCTATCTTGGGAAACAATGATTAAACAAAGCTCCCTCCCCCCAAAACGCCATTTCACCAGGTACGAGAGGGGCGGAAAATATGTTTCAAGTCCCGACAGGCTGTGTCTACCTTATTTTCTCAAGGTGGGTGGGTGGTGCAAAGAAATATAACCAGGGTTGACTGTTCAAACCAACAAAGAACTTCGGGCTCACTCACTCCCTCTACTCTTATTCACTGAGGCGGTAAAGTCACTCTTTCAAAGGACTCGAACAACGTTATACCGTAACACATATCCTTTGTCACTCTTCATGGAAAGGAACCAGAATGGTTCATCCACGCTCCAAGAAAGAGGACCTCAAATGGGAACAAAATCTTTCAATGCCCGTTCCTGCCATGGCGCTTATCATTTCATGTCCTTTTCTCAACCACCTACTCTCCTTCAACGCTCTCCACATCCTATATTCCCAAGCCAAACTAGTCTCGTGAGATCCACGATCCATCTCAAAAGATATCGGCATCACCAAAACAAGAACCTCTCCATCCTCCAAGAAACCCCATCAGCACACTTCCCAACCTCACCCAACAATGTGCTACAAAGTCCACACGCACACAATGTCATGCGACATCCGCCCAACCATAACATCAACAGCAACCCTCTACATAAACCCCTACCAACAACCACCACGCTGTCCCTGCCGCCCCTCCTCCTCCTCCTCCTCCTCCTACCACCGCTCCTCCTCCTCAACACCATCCAACGCCCGCCCCTGCCCCTCCCACGCCTGCTGCAGCCTCAACCTCATCCTCTACCGCTGCCCAGCCTACTGCCGCCAACCGACAGACTACCACCAATACACCGAGTCCTCCACCACGCGGCAATATCACTACCCGCAACACACCTCCCGCGCCGCCTACTCGTATTCATATTCCTGCACAAACGACCATACGTACCCATACTCATCGCACTATCCCTACACCTCACCACCTCGCTGGCGCACAATCCGCATCTTTGACCGGAACCCAGACTTCCACGCCCTCGAATCCGCCGACCTCCGCTTCGCGATTTCGGAATTGGTTGACATAGGCGGGATCCTTCTCCACGCAGACTCTGAACTTGAAAAAGCACGACTCCGACTAGACCGCGAACGTCGTCGTCATGATGCCTCGCACGGAAGGTCCTGTGAGCGCCAGCGGGAGTGTGCCTGGACGCAACGCATTACAGAGATGGCGCTCGAGGCGGACGATATAAAGTTCAGCTCCGAGGTACTGGCGGATTGCTGGGTCAAGTACGTTGGGTTGTTGAGGAAGTATGAGGGGCTAGGGCAGAGACGTGTAAGCGGTCTCATCGAGGATCGCGGGCGGTGGCGGCGGAGGGCGGCGGGTGAGTCGCGAGGTATCGAGGTTGAGGTTGAGGTTCCTAGGGTTGATAAGGGGAAGCCGTTTCGGTATGTTTCGCGGGAGAGTTGGGTTCGAGGGAAGCGGGTTCCTGAGGGGGAGAGGAAGGGGGATCGGGAGTGTTGTCGGGAGTATAAAAAGGGGTATAGTAGACCGGAGGCGAATACGGATCGACGACGGTCGGTGAGGTTTGCGGATGAGGTTGGTGCTGGGAAGAGTTATTGTAATGAAGGCGGGCGGAGTCGAAGGTGGTCGATATATTAGATTGCTGTTCCGTCTTTTTCCCTGAGTTGCGACAGGGTGTAACAGTTCACGATATCCAAGGCGTGGGCGCCGGGTAGAGTAAACATCGCTTCATTAAGCTTTTGCGTCGAGATGCTCTAAATGCTATGATATGCTCGCAAGTGTACCGCCCAATGCATGTCCATGACTCCGAGCTCGCTACCACGGGGTTTCCCAATCATGCGGTTATCCCAAAACAAAAACACACTTCCTTGCTGGCAACTAGTAGACGAGCTTGAATTTCACATCCGACTTGATGGCCTTGAGCGTCTCCGGTATCGGTAGTGGATCGTAAAAAGGATTCGGACGGAATGTCACTTCCTTCAACTTGGGCAGGATGTCCTTGCTTTGGAAAACAAGCTGATACAACGCATCCTGTAGGCCCTTCTCGTAGACTGGGCGTTCCTTTGCGGTAAGCTGGTCGGCCTCGATATCATGCCACAATTCCGCCAAGTCGAGAACCTCCACCGTCGGCGGCAGTCGTTGGATGATGTCGATCTTTTCTACCCACTGCGGTTTCCCGTACAGAATGCCAATGTCGAGTTTGACGTTGCGCAGCGACTTCATCTTGGGAAGTACCGTGAGTGTGCCATCTCCACCAACGTGCTGCGAGAAGTTGCCCGCCAAGATACCTTCGAATGAAAAGGTCTCCAGGGTATCGGCGACGAGAGACAAAGCCGTATTGAGGTTGTGTTCACCGTCGGCAGGCTGCTCAGCTACGCCGCTGGGACCCATCTCGAGGAGCTTGAGGTTGGGACAAAGGGCGCATATTGCGTGCCATCCTTGGCCCCACATGCTGCTCCGAACAAGTCGGAGTTCCTCGACATTCTTCCAGCTACCATCGTCACCCCAACCATCACCAGGCTCCAGAACCGCAGGACGATACACGGCGGAGCCGAGTTCCACAGAGCGCAAGTTGGGTAGCCGCAAAAGGCATGGTAATTCGCGGCGTGGCCAGAAGCTCGCGCCGGGAAAGTCCGGCATCGGCTCGAGCATGACGCGGGTGAGGGAGCTCAGGACGCGCGGGCAGCCCTCGGCGGTCTCGATATCGGGGGTGAGAATGGCTTTGAGCTTCTGGTATTCTCCGGCGGCGAAAGGCATGCGCATGTGCAAGGTGCGCAGGTTTGGTGAGGAGTAGAGGATGAGTGCAAAGACAATCTGGGCGAATTCGAGCTCAGTCTTGGCGTCACGCACAAACATCTTGATGCGGTCCGGAAGGCGGGGTGAGGCTTCTACCAGGCGACGCCATTCGGTGCGCTTGTACGGGCAGAGGACGTCCGTCGGATAGTGATCGGTGCCTAGGCAAGAGACGTAGGAGAGGATGCGCATGTTGTCGCCCAGCTCTGGGCGTTCGAGCAGAGTCTGGAGGAGTGACTGAAGCCGTGTTTGACCCCATAGATAGACTGTCTGGTAGAGGAAAGGGATCGCCAGGTCCGAGAGCCGCCGACACACGAACGCGAGGCGGTAAAGGGCGACACGGTTGGTGACAACGACGCCATCTGGGTCGGTGTAGGCCTGGAACGGGATGTCGAGGCCATCGAGCGGCGGTGTTAGGTGGCCGACGATTTGAAGTAGGACCTCATCGGGGAGGGCAAGTAATGACAAAGACGAAGCCATTGTGTGTGAGAGCCGGCGAACGTTGGGTGAGTGAGTGAGAAATTAGGAGTCGTCGTCGTCAAGTGGAAGGGAGGGAGGTGGAAAGGTGAGTGAGATATTAGATCTTGATTAGGCGGGGCTATGTGCCGGAGTGAGACAGCGTTGAAGTCTGTCACCGGACGAGAAAAGTTCTAGACGAGACGAAAGAAAAAAGAGGTAGACGTGTGCCCAGGCCTGTCTCAACCAACAGGTGGTTGGCGGGGGAGGCTGAGTAGGATGAAAGCGAGATGGTGACCTTATGTAAAGCAGGCCAGTTTACTTGGCGGAGCGACAGCGACAGCGACAGCGACACATGCCAGCGAGGTACGGAGTAATAGAGGCAGAAGAAGCACGCAGGGTTTGACGAGGGAGAGAAGGGGGGACTGCAGAAGGAGAAGACCGAGAAGACGAGGAAGAGGAATTTAGATGAGACGGGCGCGTGGCGTAGCAAGATTCCCCCAGGTTTTCCGCTCCGATGCACTCCACAGAGAACCCACCGTCTCAGGGACTCCCACGCTTCAAGAGTCTCCGGCAACGAAGGGACCCCCTTTTGACGATCCGGATGCGGCGAGTGGACTCAATCGAGGGGGGTTTGGTGACTTGGTTCAGTCTGCGATATGCGGATGCGGATGCGGGAGAATGGTAGGTAGGTATTAAGGTGGGCAATGAGAAAAGATGGACCTGGGGTGCAACGGGGATTTGAGTGTGGGCGGAATCCCATCTTATTTGACTGCTCAATGCTCACAGCTGCTGCCATGGGCGTGGCCTAGAATCCAATTCCCGAGGTCCTTGTCATCCAGATGCTTCTGCTGCCATGCCATGCCATGCGCGGCAGGATACGTACATACAAGCATACGTCCAGTACTTTATTACTTTGCTGCTTTGTGGGTTCGTGCGTCTTGTTGTATGTGTCGAACGAAGTACGGGTATGCGCATGCGTTGGAAGGTTTGGAATGTCATGTATCTCGGACGGGTTTCGAGAAGGTCTATGAAGCTCCCAGGTTCGAAGTGACTCCCATCGTGGAACAAGTCAGCCTCGAAGAGAGGATAAGACCAGCCTGCGCTTGTAATGGCAACGGGGACGGCGGTGGTATCGGAGGAATGACGTTGCCGGAAGCGCACCCGTTCCTCGGCGATCATTGAGCTGTCTGGAGGCTTGGCTGTAACTACCCTGGATTTGGCGTAAGGGTGGGCGAGGTTGGGTGACAACGCATGGTCTGCGAACGAACCGATCGGGAGGCCATGGCCGAAGGGTAAACTACAATTAGCCACTTGGTAAAGTTGATGGTCGGCGAGGACACATTGGATGAAATAGCGTTGCAGTCGTGGTATTGCGCCAGATTGGGCACAGTGAGGAATTTGAAGCGGCAGAAGCACACCGTACAGAGGAAGAAGAGGGAAGACCTTCACCTGGGCTGCCCGAGGTGAGGGACGGAGTAGGTACGTACCAACGGTGAAAAAAGAAGAAAAGACAAAATAATTAGTGGAGACACTGGATGGAGGGGTATCCCAAACGGGAATAGTGTCCCCTGGATCCACCCTTGAAGGGCTGGAAGCGAATGATTGGCAGATCCTGCGCCGCCTCCCTTCCGCCCCTTGACGCTGCCGTTCCTCCTCACCCAACACAACGACATCAACTCCTTCAAAGCTCAATTCTCCACCACATCGCGCAAGTGACAGATGGTTGCAGTTACGTCCAATGTGGAAAGTGCAGTGCTCTCATGACAGGTTTGGCAGTTTGATTCAGTCATGTTGGTGGCTTGGCACCTTGGCTAGGACTAACAAAATGCAGTACTTCGTACGAACACCGCAAGTAATTACGCATCCCCAATGCCTTTGGTCTTCAGTTGTCGACGGGAGAAGCTTGCAAGATGGAAACACGGTGGTCACGAGGGGCAGACCACATGACAGCTCGAGCTGTCTGATTATGGGAAATCTTCCAATTTATCACGCTATGGCAGATCCGGATCGACGTGTTTGTTTGCAATCTGGCCAGGTTATGCATGTCTTGGCATATCCCTTTCCTTTGCTGTCAACCACCATTGACCATTGCTAATATTCATGCAGGTAAATTCCAGTCATTGACTGACCGTTGGAATGTGAAATCCAAGACGACACCGACAATGCCTTGTTACCGGCACTCGCTCAAGTCGATGTCCTCCCTGCTTACCTAAGGTCGAGACAGGACCGACCGCACGGACCACTTCCAAGCAGCTCGCGTGATCTTGAGCCTCAGGCACTCGCACGTTTTCCTCAGGCATCCAACTCCCGATGCGACCGCCTGCGTCCGCTGATGTCTCCCTCTCCAGCTCTCAATCGCTCCCGCACTCCTCCTCCAACAGGGGCTCCCCAGTCACTACAAACAGGACGGTTCCTCGATTCACAGAGATCACACCACTTTCCGGGGCCTTACGGATCTCCTCCGTCAGGGATCCCACGCTTAAAACGTGGTCGACACCGTTGGCCCCCTGGTCCAGGGTCTCTCCCAGGTGCCCACTGTTCCGCCCGTCTGGATTCGCTTTCAAGACGACCAGACGACATCACCGCCTACCTTGTTCAGTACGATGCCTCTTCAACGTCGTGTCGAGGGCAGAATCGACGGCTCGCACCCGTGCAGCGTGCCCGCCGGTTGTCTAGGATTCCTCCTCTCTCTCGCTGCTCGCGGTGCGGTCCATGTGTCGTTCTGAAACTTGGGACCAGCTGATTCCAAGACAGAAGCTTGTTTTTCGTCTCCTCGTCTCGGTCTGGGACGAAAGTCTCCTAGATGAAGCCCGCGCTTGGATAGCAAGGCATTGCTCGGCATCCTCTCCTCCCACATAGCTTTATTCGAAGCTTGTCTTGCAAAGTCTGAAGAATATTGCTTCCCGCCAGTCCACTCTTCTTCCGAAGCCTCGTTGAAAGTGGTCCACGGAGCATCCCGCGGACCGGAGCATTCCCAGTAAAGGACAATCTGAAGAGCTATGATGCCGGTCAAGTTGACCAAGGTCTCGAGTTTCCTTACCTCGTCGAGATTAGCTTCCGATTATGGGCGGAAATTGGCCAAGTAGCCAATTCACATGGGGGGACCATCTATGATACCTTCTCGATGACCGATTATCGCCGGCAACCCTGTGTCCAAAGTTCGCAGGGAGTGGCGCCTAGGATCGGACGGCTTTCAACTTGCAACTATCTCTCCACTACGAGCCATTAGTTACAGACGCCCTGTCACCGTATTCATTGCGATCATTTCGACAAAATCATTCCTGCAGAAGTCTGCAGGTCTCGAAAGTGAGCCCGCTTATCACGACTTCGTGTTGAAGCTGGTCAATCTTGCGAGCATACAACCTCGGTAGGATTGGTCGGCACTCTCGCGACCTTGACGATCAATACACAACTCAATCAGTCGACCTAGGTTCCCACAACCCATCAGCCTCTTGCCCAGAGTATAGCGTCGACTCAGTTTCATCGCTACCATTGACTCTGTCCATGGACACCACAAGTCGTTTCCGTAGCCTTGACGGATTGTACCGGATGGGTCTCAGGGTTTCGTCGTCTGATTCATTGCTACTAACTACTCTCTTCGTCGCTAGAGCTTTCATCCCGCGAATGCTTACTACCGCATACCGAGTAGACTGACTGGCCCCGAGACTTTCGTCTCCCTGGGCGTGTTCCCTCCCCACGTTCTTTGCACAAAATGGCAACCGCAGTCGGCACGCTTCCACTTCCGAGGTCTCTCAGCACAGCCAGCGCTTCCTCTTCCGTATTACCTCGATTCAGCAGCCCCTTCATCTTGTCCCAGAAGGCCTTTCGGCGAGTGAACCACGAACGCCCATATGTGCCGTTCCGCCACTTTGCCCGGTACATCTTCTCTAGCAATTCAACTGGCTGCTGGCCGTGGAGACCGTACTTGTATTCTGCCCACTGTTCTTCGACTGTTGGCGGGTGCGGGTAGAATTTGAAAATCGGCCGCATAACTCCATCCTTGCCTCTGACGGTTAGTGGGCTGAAGTATTTCGGGTCATCGTATGGGTTGACAGGGTCTCTTGGGGACAGTACATGTTGTCGAGACGCTTTGCGCCGAACAACAGCTCCATCGACAGTGAGGTCGGTGACTTGTTCAACATCGGAGGATCTGGCGCCCGGTGCTTCTTCCGGCCCCACCTCCAGCACCTCACCCTGGAGGTCCTTGCTGACAGCAACATTGTTGTTATTCCTCTCTGGTCTCCTCGGAGGCTGACTCGGACGTCGACTCGCCGCAGCCGCCCGCGGCTTAGGCGCTCTCTTGCCACTGCTTCTTCTCACGGCCGGTGGCGCCGCCTCAGTAGTCGCTAGATGTTGTTCTTGGACCCTAGTGGGATTCAGAGATTTGGCTGTGCGAACTTTGGACGACAATAGGACAGATTCCCGTACTGGCGGCGACACCTCACGTCTCTCAGGGGGCACTGTTGGCGTCTGAGATGGCGATGGCAGGGCTGCGCCCCTCTCTTTGCCTTCAGGACCGCCGTCTTGCAGCGCGTAATCTCTGACTGCGGGATCTAGTGGATCGACACCGAAAACTTCCTACAACTTGTCAGCGTGTCCAAGGTAGCAGTTATTCTCACCTCGAAGATGGCCACATAAACCAGCCTGACCATCGAAGAGGCAGACGCTGAAGATAGGGAAACTTACCTTGACGATTGAAGTCATGACGTTGAGCTGCTTTTGCAACCTCGTGTTGACTTGGCCCATATACACTGCCATATCTCGATCTGTTGCTTCTTGTCGTTCCTGCAACTCCCGGACTTCTTTGGTGTACTCGTGTTGTAGTCCGATGACTGCCTGGGCAAATCCATCCTCATCCACAGGTTCAGCCACGGATGGCTCGGCGGAAACTTCTGCTTCAGGCTCATCCTCACTGTCCGAATAGTCGACCAGCCGTGCTTGGACGTGTGTCATCTCCAGCCACTGCGAGTGGTTGACTGTGTTCTCTGTTGAAACCTTTTTGTGACTTGTGTGCTTGAACGTGGATCTTGTGGAATGCTACCCAGACAGGATGCCTTGGCTAGAAGAAATACTGGCGGCTACTTTTATTCTCAGATCACGTACCTCTCGGGTGCCACCAAGACGCAAGGGATTAAAGACCAAGTTCGAGGGCAATAATCATTGCGTGCGGACTTTCTCTGTGGTGTGCCTGGTTTCTTTGTCTACTTTCGAAGATGAGCTTGGCTCTGTTTACCCACAAACACTATTGTGCAAGCACCCCTCGAACCTCACACCGCCCCGTGCACTTTCCAACGGACAAGATGAGTCGAACTCGTTAGAGAAGAACAGAGCTGCAGTCTGGAACAAACCTGCTATGGCGGAACAATGTTAACCTCTGCAATTACTGTTGTGCGACACGAGCTTCATCAGGGTCGACGGAGCCGAGAAACGGAATGCCACGAGAAGTGACGATCAATGGGTCGGATGCTTTCCTCGCGAACAGATCTTGCTATTCAACCCTAGCTGCCATCACTAACTGCGCTTTGATGTACTATTAGCCCTTCGACCACTGATCAGATGACCACTTTGGTACTTCGCCAACAGGCATCTTTCGATCAAGGAAAGTTGAAGATTAAATTCTGAACAAAGCGAAGCTGGATTTGTCAACATGATTGGGTTCTCAATCATCACCCCAACACCGAGAAGGCCTTCTCCACCGGCAAGTCCCTCGAGCTGAAGCCGACCCAGAACGTAAACTCACCCTCCGGAATCACCCACACCTTCTCCGACGCATCCCACAAACTTACATCCCGCCTCATCAGCAAGAACTCCACTTCGGCCGAGCCGCCCACCTCGATCTGGATCTTTTCAAAGCCCCGCAGTACCTTCTTCGGCGTGCCTCCCGGCGCGGTCTCCGGGAAGGAGACGTAGAGCTGCGGGACAGCAAAGGCAGTCCGGTTGCCCGTATTCGAAATCGACGCTTTGACGCTAATGAGATCTTCCCATAGCTGCGGATGCCCGCCTGGTTGAACTGCGATCGCCGTGTCCGGGCGAGCAGTGATGGATGAGTTCCCCGCGACAAAGCTCACGCCGACCTGGTCACCCACCACTTCGAACGTCGTGTACGTCAACCCGAAGCCAAGTTCATACAACGGCTCAATGTCAAGCTCATCGTAGTGGCGGTAATCAATCATCTGGCCCTCTGTAAAATCAGCCTGCCACGCAAGCGGATCACCAACAGGCTGCGTAAGATTCACAATCGCCGGTCCCGCATCCTCCTCGCTGCGCGGGACAGAGTACGGCAGCCGGCCCGAAGGCGCGACGTCACCCCAGAGCACATCAACAATCGAGTTGCCGCTCTCCTGGACCGGGTAATGCGCCGCCGGGATCGCGCCAATCTTGGTGTGATTTGCCCAGGGCATGGTATTCATGCCGCCCGAGTGCGTGACCACCACCGTCGTCCCACAGAAATCGGCCACATTATTGATCACCGCCGTCGAGTTCCCATCAAGCTCAATCGACATGCGATCGAAGCCTTCACTGGCGAAAGTCTGCTGGAACACGAGGCAGATTTCGGGCGGGGGGTATATACCCCTGAAATCATTGGCCGCGAGGACGTCATTGTTCGTCACGTACAGGACTTCCGCGCCGGACTCTGCTGCTTTTGCGCGGATGGCGGCGAGGGGGGAGATTACATACGACGGACGGCCTGTGCCTGACCCGCCGCCGATGATCATTGTGCCTGTGTTAGTGGCATCGGGAACCTCAGCGGGGCGGAGGAAGCCGTCTGTCATTTCGCCCGCGTCGTTGCCGAAGATGCCGATGATTTTGGGGTTCGTTAGGGGGAGGGTGAAGCTTACGTTCTTGAGGAGGACTGGGCCCGCGGAGCCCATTTCGCGGATGAGGTTTGCGTGGTCGCCGCGGACGTCGCGGCCGTAGGTGAAGACGAAGTCGTCGGGAATGAAGCCCCCGTCTTTGGCGACTTGGAGGCCGACTTCTTGGAAGAGGGTTACGAAGCGGAGTGACGGGTCGGGTGAGGGGTAGGATTCTGCGTCTTGGCCTAGGAGGTAGTATGGCGTGAGGATGTTGCTGACCATTTCGTCGATGCGGGATTCGGTGACGGTGCCGTTGGTGACGGCCTCGAGGACCTTGTCGCCGAAGAAGGTTACCGCGCCGGGGTAGTTTCCCGGCACGGCGCCCGGCATCTCGAGGTCGAGGCCGGCGTTGATTGCCTCTGCGGTAGAATGCGTCGCAAACCAATCCGATACAGTGTACCCCTCGAACCCCAGCTCGTCGCGCAGCAATTCTTTCAGGAGGTGGCTGTTCTCACACGCGTACGTCTGGTTGAAACGGTTATACGAACACATGATGGACGTCGTACCCGCCCTAATGGCGTTGGCGAACGGCCAGAGGTAGAGCTCCTGGGCGGTCCTGTCATCCACATTCGAAGAGATGGCCTCGATTGCCGTTGGGCGAAGGGGTGTCGGAGCGCTGGGTTTCTTGTTCGTTTGCAATGTAGTGCCTTGAGCAGGTCTGTACGCCGGCGGATTGCATCCCTGTGATTGTGTTCTCGATGCTGATGCCTGCTAGGTAGGGGTCTGGGCCGAAGCCTTCCCAGTTGCGACCGCCTAGGGCTGCGCGACCCATCGGACCTGTTGAGGGGCTTTCCAGGCCTATGTCAACACGATCTATCACGCGGTTTCTATAAGAGAGAGAATGGGGTGAACGTACCCGAGAATCACGTGTCCTCCTTTCCCCTTAAATTCCTCTGCCAGAGCAACGCCACGCCGGTAAATCATCTCGCGGTCCCATGTTGCCGCGGCGGTTATGCCCGAGGGGAAAACGCTGACTAGGTTTTGGTTATGAGTTCTGGCGTACAAGGTTTCTTAGTAACAAGCGTTATATCGAGCTGGGTTCAGAATTCACTGACTACCTATTGTAAATATGTACTTTTTTGAGCACTTCTATTCCTAGCTCTTGTCGATTTATGTTGAAATCAAGTGGCAAAACACCGTGTTGGGGTGAAAGGGCACCGGGGATGAGGTTTTGCTGATCAGTGGACACGGGTTGATTATGGTTCCCGAATTTCCGATCATAGATATCTTCCAGCACATCCAGTCTCCAATCAACGGAAGTGCGGTTCGAAACTCTACATCCAGACATGAGGGCATAGGCAGGGCTTCGGCTCAACTACAAGCTAGCAGCTCCTGCAGCTAAGATACCTGGGGTAGGCGAGAATATGTCCGATTGGTCTGATCGCCTACAGTCCTCAGACAACGCACTCATTAACCATACGAAGTGTGGGGGCCGGAGCTGGAGGCGGATTTCCTAGAATGTCGGCCGGGAAAGGCCCGATTGCTTTGTATTTGCGCATTCTGTTGGCCTTTGAGCACAAATGGACATCTCTGAAGCGTGAAGACAGCATCTCCTAGAAGCTATGACGGCCAAACAACATAGAAAGTCGCCAGTACAACATAATCTTGGACTTGAAAAATCAAACATGGCTTGCAGCTTTACAGAGGTCAGAGGAAAGAGGTCGAGCAACACCGACAAGGGCATTGATAAGCAGTTGTGCAGGCGTCAAGCTTGGCCCGCGCAAACGCCGAGCGGTAATAAACCAACCGAAGTCGAACTTTCCGCACTCAGCCTAGGTGTGTCGAAGAGATGGTCATATGTAATTCTCTGGGATGTACGCCAGACTTCACTGCGATAGGCAGTTTTGTTGCAAGAAGAGGCAATAAGAGGAGGAAGCGGAACGATGTAGCCTGGACCAGTAGAAACATCGAAAGAATCAGTTGACTGTTGACGTGATAGGAGCCACCACAGCAGGATACTATCTCTCATTTTCTTTTCAGATCGTTGGAATTTGTGATTTTCCCCTAGTGTCAGAAAGAATTTATATTGGTCGATCAAAATAGAAGCGGCATCCCCCCTCTCTGTGTCTGGCGTTGCAAGCCTGTAGCGACCACGATGGGGTATGCTTTAACCTAGATATTACAGGCATAGACGCTCTAAATCAGACTGCATCCAGCGCACTCATCCTATCGAAGCTCATATCCAAGATTTCCAACACATTGCCCCAAGGATCCCTAAAGTACAGACACCTCGAGCCGCTCAGCGGATTGAGTGTCGGTTCCCCAATCTTGCTGGCCCCGTTCTGTACAGCCCGTGCCAAGAGAGCTTCTGGTTCTGCATCCGTCACGCACAAGTGGAAGAAGCCGCCCACGTTGTACGCAAAATCGTCGGCTTTCTTGTAAGCGGGATCGACAAACTCAAAGACCTCGAACCCGACACCGTTGCCGGTGGTCATGAATGCCAGCTTGACTTCCTGCAAGGCCCCGGGGTAAATCTTGAAAATCCCCGCGTCTGGTGTCTCGGAGCGCTTTATTTGCTTGATCTTGCCGTTTACGAGGACGAAGCCCATGATCTCGCTGTACAATTTCACTACGGCTTCGATATCTGGAACGGACACGCCGATGTGGTTGACTGATCGCATGTTTGTCTGCATTATAGATACCGTCAGCAAACGTATGACACGATAACTTCTATCCCGCCGAGGCTTTGTATGAAAACGTCCCAGTAAGATCCATAGGGAATAGGATAAGACGAGAACATACCCTGGACATAGCGGTTACTGCTGGTGTGGTGATTGAGTCTATTATCTACGCAAGCCCCGTACCTAGTAAAAGATGACGAGGTGAAATGTGAAAGGGTGTTGAATGCAAATTGAGAACACGCTTCTTAATTTCCATGTCTATGTCTTAAACGAGTGGTGCTGAGTCCGGCCTAGATATTGGCCGGATCAGGCAGTCTGACGGAAACCAAATCCCGATTGCGCGCATCCGGAATTCAAGCCCCGACCGGGGCGGGGCAGCCGGCGCCAGACGGCGCGATCGTCCGGATTTCAACGGGAGCCCGTCCGGTGGCCATCGGGAATGATGACCTGCCTTACTTTA